TAGGACGGAAACAGTCGGAGCAATTTGATAATGAATGTTTTGAGTCCCTTTTCTATCATTATAAAATAAATTTTTACTTTTTTAATGACAAAAGAAGACCTTTGAAGAATCCCATCAGGCCTTAGTTTAGTTAATGCTGCACATGTTCTATAGAAATAATAAATATTGAGAAAAATAATATCAGAAGAATCAAGAGTGAAGCACATCTTTCTCATGTTGTGGTATTTACCAAATGACCTCTGATGTTCTCAGAGAAACAGGGAGGCTGAATTCCTACGAGCATTTTTTAAATTCCCCGATAATCAAAGTCTGCAATACAAATAAAGATCCTGATATATTCAAGAATTTCCCCAACTCTTGGAAAACCAACAGTGTAGACGCACTTATACTCTGCAAGATTTGAAATGTAGATACTGTACGGTATACTATGTTGTCTATTTTGAAGCTTTGAAAATGTGGTTAAAGTGCAAATACGTAAATTGTCTGAACTATTTACAATCTTTTTATTCCTTTGTCAAATAAAATGTTGGATTATTTGCTGGTTCAAGCTTCTCAAGTGTGTTTTTTTCTACTTTTCTGATAGTAAACTAAATGTTGTTGTAGTTCTTGTCTTGAGATATTTATATAACACATTTTCATACACCTCATAGACCAAATATTTGATCAATAAATGAGAAAATACTCAGTGGATTCATCCTTACTGAAGCCATAGCCCAGATAAACATTCATCAGCCATCTGTGCAGATCTCAAAGGAGGGGCAGCAGATGGGATATGGGAAATGTAGGATTTTTCTGAGATTGATCATTTTGACAACAACTGTCAGAATATGTTCTGTAATCTGGGTCAATTTCTTTTTTTAAAAAGGTGTGTAAGGAATTACATAAACATCAGCTGACAAACTTGACTTCACTCATTGACCATGTCATTAAAACTGTGACCTTATTCACTTATCTGCTTTGACAACACCTGTCATCATTCCCAGCAGGAAACACAGAGAGGTATGACGCTGCGGTTCACTCCTTCATTACGACTTTTTTTTAAGAGGCCAAAAAATGACTAAATAAAACAAATACTGGGAAAAAACAACTTCTGACATCTTCTTTTAGATGATTTGTTTACTGCAGATTTAAGAGTGATGATGCTTTCAAAAACCTGTTTTCAGTGGAGGTTTTAAACTACAGAAGAAATGTCTGTAAAAGTTGTCAAAGAAAGAATTCTAAATGTGCATCATGTAAAATGTGTTTACCTTGTATCACCATGTAACAGCAGGAAAAAAGATCTGCTGAGTCACAACTGAGAGGCTGCTTGTGATGACACATTACAAACAGAAATGGATTTAAATTCAAGCTCTAACCAAATTGACGACCCAAACCACTAAGCCTCTCTGAAATAAGGACTAAACTGGGACAGGCCAAAACAAGACGACATGATGTCTAAAGTGAAGGGGTGTGGAGAGAAGACACAAACTACAGCACGTCTTCAGCATTAATATTGATTTTAAGTTCTATTTTGATCAGGTGGAAAGTTCATTAAGCTTTAACCTGAAAGAATGGTAAAATTAATTTTGGATAAAAACAGCATGCTAATCAGACTTAAAGTCTTCATAACAGGAAACAGGACTTACTGTGATAACCATTGACCACCGAGGTGTGGCTGATTAAGCAATTTCATATTTAGTCACCTCCTCATATTGAATATTACAGCTCTACAGTGCTTAGAACGAAGTACAATATCAAACACGAGATAATAATTTAATTACCTAAAGGACATAATGTTTATCTTTAAGGTTCAGAAATGGTTTACTTTTGCTATTTTTTTCCAGTGTTGCTACATAGAAATTATTTCAAACTTTGGCACCTCACAGTTATTTAAATCTCACTGTGCATGCTTTTTATGAATACAATAGTGTGATAGTGCTACACTACAACATAGAAAACATATTCCAGATGCTGCTAGGTTATTTATTCAGCCACCTCCACACCCAGCAAACAAACAGAGGTCAGGTGTACTCTACACTGACGTCACTGCCATTGTGCACCTGACACAATAAAGTGTGACTCTGAGCAACTGTAAAACTGACTTCATTACAGCGTCACCTAAATCTGTTTTCACATATTTGACTTTGAGATGTAGTGTAGCCTAATACAAATGTTTTACAGCATGTGAACCCTGGTTACTCTTGACTGATGAATTGCTTGTTTCACCCTTCAAACGGTTTGCAGACATCTCTACTTTTGGACTTGACAAATGAGACAATCCTGAGTTTAAAATATCTGATTCACAATGTGCATACTGAATTAAAATATTATGGCATGCAGACTTCACTTAGCTCTCATCTTTTACAGTGATGGGTTAACCCTAACCCTATTAAAGGCACTCACATCTGTGTGTCTCGGCTGCTTTACATATTATGAAGTCTGCATGCTAATTAATGTATGTAGACATCTTCCCAGGTTACAGAGGAGGGTCCTTGTGACTAAAATAAAAATAAAGAGGGAGTTATGCATGTTAGAAAAGTTACTTTCTTTTGTACTAAAGAATAAGACCGAGGAGATGAAGAAACTCTACAACTTGATGACTTCTGTGGAAAAGTATAAAATATACATCTGGAGTGTGATGGGGTTTCCAACGACTACCAAGGGAATAGAAGAGGATAATCTGTAGTTGGAAAATGTTATTCTTCATTTGATTGTAAAGCCCCCACCAAAAAAGAACTAAAAGTGTTGCCATAATCAGTGGCAATTTAACAGCTAGGAAAGGTTGAACAAATATAGATAGTAGCTTTTATTTTAGGTAAAAAAAAAAAAAATGCAGGACAAAGATTGTTTAGGAGCTTATGACATAAGGAAGTAAACGTATTTAGCTGCCTCTGTGACTATGCATCTGTTTATTTTTTCCCAAACGTAATGAAAGAACAACATTCAATACAGACAAAAACTATTAGCAATAATACACTGAATGCAACTTTCTCAGTTTTGGAAAGTCCACAATGCACTCATGTTCAAAGACATGACGATATAAAAACACATCCCACTGATCATTAAATTTGCATTGCACTAACAAATGCACACAAAGAAACACCTTCATCTGCAGATCAGCCAGTTTAGCACGCAGACAACGCATGTGAGGGATCCTCCTCCTTCCAACACTAGATATCATAGCTTTAATCAAAGAAAGTTATCTATACTTTAATACATTTCACAAACAATCACGTTCAAGCTACAGGGCTCTGTATAAACTGAGGAGACTTCCAGGTCACATCCTTTAGCTTGCAAAGTCTCTCTGAAGTGTAAACAAGCAGTACCAATGGAGTTAAAGTGGCCAGAAACTCAGGGTCTTTGTGTAATCTAGGAGATAATACACGACTCTAAAATGATATAAAACCGACCAAACTTAGTATGAACTGCCAATAATAAAACAAACCAATCTAAAAGGAGAATAGAAACAGATGCAAAGTAGCTTAAAACGGCCTGACACACATTCCTAGTTGGCTACAGTTTAACTTCCTGCAACTAAGCCTGCAGGATACCCCGCCCCTTTCTCAAACAAACCCGCTGATTGGCTGTACACTTGCCAATCATGCTTTACTTGCCAAATGGCTTTCAAGAGAGCAAGTAAAGATCCCTCCCCCACATCCACCCAACTAGTTTCCTGGCGTGTTGGCTACTTTCTAACGAATGATATGTCAGCACCAAAGCCCCGAAAGTGTCTCAACAAAAGCTTAACCAGTAAACTTACATTAAAAGGGTTGTCTGCCACGGGCTCTGCGAAGGGGTTGCTATCATATCCCGACATTTTGAAATGACTGCGCGCTGTTTGGACCTCTCTGAAACAGGGAATAAACAGCAAACTCTCCGCTGTCGTTAAGAGTTGTCTCCCCTGTTACTTCCTCGAATGAAGTTTACGGCGCATGCGCTCTCAACCACCTGGGCTGTGACGTGTTCAGTTGACACACGTCACAGCGTTTAGGAGGGAAAGCGCGCCACCTGTGGCTTTCGGCTCTGTGAATTATCATGATTTGTTAAATAGCGTACTACTTTATTAGTTTAAAAAATGTAAATATATAAGGGTCCCCTTAATGTTTATGCTACGCGAAGGGAACTAGTATTTTATCAGGAATAAAGGTGAAGCTTCACTGAAAACCCTTAAATGTATTTTATTAATTAATCATTAGCCTATAACATACAACAGGGACCGTAATTTACACGTAAGGGAAGTTTACACATTATAAAGAGAACTGTTTAGTCTATGAGACAGTTTCCTCGATTTCCCATGGGTATTTTTTTTAAAGTCTACGAAAACTTGCGTTAAAAAGTCGTGACAGATGAGGACATTTCATATTCAGGGAGGATCGAATTAAGATGCAAATTAGTTTTCTTTCCAAGAGATGCAGCATAAAACTTTTTTTTTTAAGACTTAAGAGCTTAACTGAGCTCGTCTAAAAGTAAGAATATACTGATTCAACTTTATTCCGAACAAAAAGGAAGAAAAATAAAAAGTTCTGCCTCTTACGAGTCTATAGACATCACGATTTGTTTTTTTAATACGTTAATAAAGGTAGCCTACGGTTGAGAAAATTCAATAAATGTTTTTATTTTATCCATATGTCATTAATATAATAATAATAATAATAATAATAGCCTATTAATATAATAATAATAATATCATCAAATATAAGCGCTTATATAAGTATATTTACAGTTTAAAAGGAAGTTAGATATAACAAAAACTGCCCCCTATTATGTAGTTAATATATTTAAGCAATTTAATCGTAGATATCTAGACCGTGTAGGATATTAACACATTTTTATTTTTTTTACTTTATTTACAACATGTTAATTACATCAGGATTCAATGCCAGGAACGAAGTTATAACTCGAGGTACAACTGATATAGAAAACAATGATGATAACAAATAAAATAGAAAAAAAAAAAAAATCTCCGAAGCTGTTCGTCGATTCGTGACGTCACTATCAGTCTCACAACCGACGCAGAAGCCATGGAGGAAGTAAGAGGTGAGTGAGATTTTCTCCTCCTGTTAATTGTTTGAAATGATCTGTTTTAGCGAAAGAAACGGGGCTAGAAAGAGGTGCAGCGTTGTTCCACCGGATACAGGTTATAGTGAAGTAAGGACTGAGCAGAAAAGCTTTGTTGAGCAGCATCCATGTTGTTAATTCAGGTGGCGTTTTGTTTGTTGCAATGGGACTCGGGTCGTGTTTTAAAGCAGCACTGTTAATACGGGCAATTCATTGAAACAACACGCAGTTGGCTTTCTTGACGAACATTTGAAATCTCTACAGCCGTAAGCTAAGGGTAGAAACATTTTATTCAAACCGGTGTCCTGGCTCAGCTGTAATCCTGCTTACTGTGTGCGTTTCTGTCAATGAACGCTGCATCGTCAGCTGGCCGGTGTTCTGCCAAATAATGTATCCCCAGTGGAATCTGCGCCCCCTTGTTTTACTGTTTTATTATGCTGGTATATATCCAGGCAGGCTATTTTTTGACTATTTATCCCTGTCAAGATATGCCACGCCTTGGTTATGCAGCTAATGTTAACATAGGCTACTGGTGTTTTTGTTAACTACTACTGTTAACATACATATAGGCCTACTAGTTTATTATAGTCCACATCATTATGTGCAGTGTTGAGAACAGAGTGTGCTTTCCCCTTTTTTTCTTTCCTGTGATACTATTGGGTAATATTAAGATAATGTAACATTTATTGACACAATCATTGTTAAACACACATCTACCCAGTGAGTGTACGCTTGTGTAAGAAATACCATTCACGTTTTGTTTTAACAATTCAAAGCTTTTGGAGGCATTCAAATGTATAGAAATTAGTCTGTATTCACTTTTTGTTTAAGAATTGAATCGATTTCTTTCCTCCTCAGTGTTTCCCCTTACCTGCGCTGTGCAAAACTATGCATGGGGGAAGGTTGGTCAGGACAGCGAGGTGGCCAAGCTGGTCATAGGTGGAGACCCGCTTGCTGTCGTGGAGGCTGGCAGGCCTTATGCAGAGGTAAAGTCAATACAGGCAAATCACAAATTAGACTGGCCCTTGAGGCAGACACTTACACCCCACTACTCTACCAGTCTACTGGAGGTTACTGCCAGAAACTAGAAACATTTTTAAATGCAATAACAAGTTGTTTTTTTTACACATTCTAGTTTTCAAGTCGATGATTTTAACTCTTACTTAAACATAAAATATGTTAACAAAGAAAGTCAGCCTCTCCAGATGAAATCAAGCAATAGGCTAGTCAGAAATGTGTACCACCATGTGTACAAAGTTTAATCAGAACTGAAAATTGTAAACACTGGATGTGCTTTTTTAAATACGTTGCATTACACAACTGAGACACATTATGTTTCCAAGTTTTGTCAAATGGGGAAAAAAGCAGTAAAAACATTAAAGTCATGAATAAGTGATGATGATAAAGAGGACTACACTTGTGTGGCAGTTTTTTTGGTTCTTGACAATTGGTGTCAACTTTGTATCATCCTTTAGATCTAGAACTTGTGCTATCCAGTACAACGATGCATCATCCTGACCTTATTTTTAGATTATTCAGGCCATAAAATGTGGTGTTGTTCCTCAGTTTCTTGGCAGAGTGCCTTGTTCTCTTCATGCCTGTCCCAAGTCTTTCCTTATTTAGCTCCAGCAGCAGGTCTGCAGGGTTTGTCATGAAGGTCGTCACTTCCAGTTATGGCAGTGCTGACATTTTCTCACACAGCGAGCCACATTAATGTCACATGTCATGGTTTGGTCATATGAACATTCATGGTTATCTTCATGGATGCACAATCCTACATTACGGCATGTGACTTCATTTTTGACCACAACTGTGACATGTTGGTCGACCTCTACTTTTGTTATGGTTAATTTTAGATTAAGAGATGTTTGGGACGATCATGCAGAAATAAAAAGTGTAAAACGTGTGTGTGTTGTTTTGCAGAAATATAGGCTCACTTAAAAAGCTGCTATTTAATAAAAGGTTACTGGTTACATGGTTTAAGCCCTGTAGCTGCAGTTAGTGTTTGTCCACCAACAAGTGCGATTCCCTGAAAGACAAAATCCTTCTTTGACATTTCAGGTAGTAACCCTCTTATCCAGAGTGATTTACTCAGTGTGGTGATGAGGATTCCTCCTTTGTCACTGAGAAAAAAACCCACTTTAGATTAAAGAATTTGATGAAATGTAAATGTCTGACACCAGGCTCTTTGTTACCAGAGATTAAAGGAGGGAGAACTGATCATTAGTTCATGTTAATTGACTTTTCAACATTTATTTCTAGTTAAATCAGAATTTTAGCTCCTCAGTTTTCCAGTCACAAAGCCCATCCTGCAACTTGAGTATTACTAATAATTCAAAGTTATCTCTGCCGTGTTTTCCAGCTGTGGATGGGTGCCCACCCTAAAGGTGATGCCCAGATTAAAGACAACAGGATCGCACAGACCACGCTGGGCCAGTGGATCGCCCACTTCCCCGCCTGCCTGGGCTCCAAGGTCAAAGACACCTTCCACGGTCAGCTGCCCTTCCTTTTCAAAGTCCTCTCTGTCAATACAGCTCTGTCCATACAGGCCCACCCCAACAGAGTGAGTACACATGCACCCACGCAGCATTCAAATCCTGTGTACCATGAATCATTATTGTTAAGTGGAGAATGACTGGACATGTTTTTTTTTTTTCCAATGCATAAAACAGTTTTATGTTTGTCTTTATGCGCTATGCCTGCCCTCTTTGTTAACCCTCTCTCTTTTCAATCATTATGGTTTGGTCAGGAGTTAGCTGCTCGTCTCCATGCTCAGTTTCCGGAGCACTATCCAGACAACAACCACAAGCCAGAGATGGCCATAGCGCTTACCTGCTTCCAGGGCCTCTGCGGCTTCAGACCAGTGGAGGAGATACTAGGCTTTCTTAAATGTAAGTCTCATGGGAACATTAGTGGATTTTGGATTGATCTTTAGAGAGTTAATGGAGATTAAAAGGAACAAAGATGTGGTTTACAGTGTTGAAAACTGAATATCATACAAAGAGCTTTCCTTTGGGGCGCTGGTGGCGCAGTGGTTGGTGCGCGCGCCCCATGTATGGAGACTGTGGTCTTCCGGGCGGGTGGCCCGGCTTCGAATCCGGCCTGTGGCTCCTTTTCCCACATGTCGTTCTCCGCTCTCTCTCCCTGGTTTCCGACTCTGTCTACTGGCCTCTCTCTCCAATAGAGGCACAAAAAGCCCAAAAATAAATCTTTAAAAAAAAAAAGAGCTTTCCTTTAAATGGTAGATGTTTCCCAAAAAAATACATTCAGACCGATTCAGACGTGTGTGTGTGTGTGTGTGTGTGTGTATCCATCAGGTGTCCCGGAGTTTCGTGCTCTGGTAGGCAATGAGGCGGCGGACGAGCTGCAAGGCTGCATGGGAAATGCAGTTCAAACGAGCCAAGTGCTGAAGAAGTGCTTCACAAGGATGATGAACTGTGAGAAGAAGGTGTTCGTAGATCAGCTCAACATGCTGGTCAAGAGAGTCACTGAGGAGGGTAAGGAGGCTGAGGGATGTAAGTTATAGGCTCCTAAGGAAAGAAAAACAAAGTTAAATTCCAGTTTTATTCCCTATGTTAGTTGTTTTTTCATTAATCAAAAGTAGAGAGCAGTCGAGGGGTCAAAATACTAAAAGATGTCTGAGTTTAGAAGTGAAGCCTTTTCTTTGTTGCACGCTAAAATCTGTAACACAATGAGAGGGTTTCTCAATATGTTTACACAATGCTTAATTTCATCATAGTTTACACTACTGGCCACTTACGTAAGGGGTGTTAAAACACATATCCACCAGTTTAAAAAAAGACTCCTCTTAGTTGTGGAACTTGCAGAAGCACAAAATTAGTCATGAGAAGCCACGACAGAGGACAGCCAGCGTCTTTACAGGTTAAAATACGACAGCCGCCTGTCAAAGTAGGGACATTTATTTTGCCAGAAGCTGTGCCAGAATTTCCCACTCTGCTTCTGCAGTAATGAAACAAGTTCTTTTTGAAATTTGAAGTAAATTATAACCACTAGGTTCAGATTTGTCAGTGCTTTTTGCCTCTTTTCAAATGATTTGCTCATTCATCTCAGTACCAGAGACACAGAGACTCTCCTCATCCCTGTCAGACACTTTCTTTTGAAATCTACCAACAACATGTAACTACTGCAATGTGTCTTACTCACATAAAAACACTCCTGGCTGTGTTTGTGACCCATGCAGGGGCAGCTGGAAAGGACACATCCAGCAGTAATGGTGACCTGTTGCTCCGCCTCCACTCCCAGTACCCCGGAGACATTGGCTGCTTCTCCATCTACTTTCTCAACTACATGGTATTGGACCCGGGACAGGCCATGTTCCTGGGAGCCAATGAGCCTCACGCATATATTTATGGAGGTGAGATGATACTTTTTCAAACACTCTACATCTTATCCAGGCTGACTACAGCACGAGTAGCTGAACTTTTACACTTTCATGTGCTATGACAGATAGTCAGTGGGGAAGTATTTAAGGAGAAGACTGACATTATTCTATTCTATGGTACTGTTGACTGTTGATTAGATGATTTAAAGCACCTGTGAGGAGCTATTTGATGGTTATTAAACTGACTAAAATTAATACTGATGCCTCTGTAAGACCTACTGAAGTGAATATCTGAACCACTGTGGCGGGGTTAGAGTGAGAGGAATAGTGATAAACAGCACACTGCCGTTACAGCCTTAAAATAATATTTCCATGGTGAAGATTCTCGATGAGTGATGTATTTTAAAAAGAAAGCAGGATGATATTTTTTTAAACACTTCCTACACATGTAAAGGACAAAATCTACTATGAATTTTTACTTGCTTGCTTCATACTGTATCTACTTGAAAATGAACTTAAAGATAAGAGAGGTGCTTAACATGCGCTTTAAAGAAGAGCAAACCGCACCCTCTGCTTGTCCAATACTTGCCATTTAAAAGTTCCTTCTTCTGTTTTTTTAATCCAGACTGTATTGAGTGCATGGCCTGCTCAGACAACACAGTGAGAGCCGGTCTCACACCAAAATACATCGACGTGAACACACTGTGTGAGATGCTGAGCTACACCCCGGCCTCCGCCAGCTCCAAAATCTTCCCGTGTGAACAAGATGCCTCAGACCCCTTTGTGTCCCTGTACGACCCCCCAGTGCCAGACTTCACTGTCATGAGGATACAGGTAGGAAACCCCCTTCTCACTTCAACCTGATAAAACCATACATTTATATAGTAGATTTAGGACTTTGGTGGATTTTAAATTCCTCCAGTGTGTCACTTTGATAATCAATAAAAAACAAGAAACATTTACAGCTTTTAAAAGTTTGTCTGACTTCAAATTAAAGGTGTGCCGTTTTAATGTGGAGAAGAAACAAGCTTAGCTTTATTATGTGAAATCTGTCTGGATGAGTCAACCCTCTTGGCACTTCTGCTGTTGCACTGTGGGTTTTCCTGCTATGACATCAACATTACAGCCAGGAAAAAATCTATTCAATCTGCTTTAAAGTTTGACAGCAGCATAAACAGTTCAGTTAATCCCCATAATCCTCAGAGTGTGTGTGTGTGTGTGTGTGTGTGTGTGTGTGTGTGTGTGTGTGTGTGTGTGTGTGTGTGTGTGTGTGTGTGTGTGTGTGTGTGTGTGTGTGTGTGTGTGTGTGTGTGTGTGTGTGTGTGTGTGTGTGTGTGTGTGTGTGTGTGTGTGTGTGTGTGTGTGTGTGTGTGTGTGTGTGTGTGTGTGTGTGTGTGTGTGTGTGTGTGTGTGTGTGTGTGTGTGTGTGTGTGTACACAGGCTGGGAGTGCAAAACAAAATTTCAAAGTGTGAGACAAATTTACATTTGGAAAAACAAAGTTTCAAAACCAAAACACTTTTACCAAGGACAAAATACATTTACATTTTATAAAACAAATGTACAAGATGTGAAACACTTTTACAAGTGCTGAAATACATTTACAAGTGGCAGAACACTTGTCAATTTGTCTCAGTGCTTGTAAAAGTGTTTTGGGTTTTGTAACTTTTTTTTAATAAAATGTAAAAATGTTTTTCAAAATGTAAATTTGTCTCAAGCTTTGTAAAAGTGTTTCACACTTTGTAATTTTGTTTTGCACTTCCACCATATATAAAGTCACCCCACATTAACTTGGCCTCATGTGACATCATAACTTAACTCCTGCTTATGAGAGCACCATCAAAGTGTGTATTACAGTCACGATGCACCCACTGTAACAGGGTGACATTCTGTCCCACAGGTCCCGGCCTCAGTGAAGCAGTACACCGTTGCGCCGGTCGACAGTGCCAGCATCATTCTGGTCATTGAAGGGGACGCCACGGCAACCTCGGCCGCCGCCCTCTCTGACGTCACACTGAGACGCGGCACCGTCCTGTTTGTTTCAGCTAACGAGAGCGTCGCTCTGCACATCACCTCCCAGTCAGGGATGAACATGTTCAGGGCCTGCTGCCTCCTGTAGCTGTGAGTGAGAAACCTTCAGACCACCTGTGTTTGTTTCCCTCTGGTATGACTCAGCGACATCGACTTTGTGTTTTGGAGTGAGCCCAATGGTCGCATCACTCTGTGAGAAGGTAGTACACTCAAGGTTTAAGACAGTGTTGATGCCCATTTGTGCCCACTGCTCCCCCCCCCCAACCAAAACAACAGTGTCCCTTAGGTTTTAACAACAAGCAGTTTTTCATTTCCACTGGATTTAAACTGGTTTTAACTTTTTTACCTGTAGTAGTGCACTAACATCTTGTAAACACATGGAGGATGAGTACATCCTTCATAATCTAAGGATTAAGAATGAAAATGTTACATTAAATAGTTCCTTGGTGAGAAAACTTTCTCTATATAACATCTGTTAAGTAGCTGTTGAGCAGCTCAGAGGAGATACAAAAAATATACAAGATAAGCAAGCAAACCACGAGATACAATCAGAAGCTCTAGATGACCTAATCTACAAACATATTCTTGGGGTTTTCCCAAAATCATTCAAAAATAACTGAGAAGCCTGAGAATCACTCCACCTAAAAAAAAAAAAAAAAAGTCTAGTTTGTACTCAATTGATAAATATTTCTATTTGAAGGGTTTCTCTTCAGTGTTGTAGACATTTTTCATTTTATTCCTAATACACTTACAGCTGAATATTCCTACCTTCTGGTCTGACACAATGATAATTACTTGCACCAACCTTGATAAGTCAGACTGGACTGCAGCAGGGTGGGGGAAATGTTTACACTGGAGCAGTTCACCACCAAACACTGCTTTGTGCAACTACAGCACCACTGAGCATGTCTGATATATTAGCCAGCAGTTGTCTCTCTGCAGGGTGCAATGACCTGTTTAATCATTTGAGTTAAGCTTGAACTATTAAAAACCCACCTCTGGGAAACATCCATTCTTCGTTGAGAGCATATAGTGTAATGCTGAGATGCCTGTGCATGTTTGACTCAGAGCAGTAATACTGGAGGGGGGGGTCATCTATCTCAACGCCCCCCTCCCCCGGAGAGTGTTACTGCATGTAACTGTTACGAGTGCATGTTAACAGTCTGGAAATTTCTCCTCAAAGTAGTGAACAGTCGTAGAAATCATTAAAAAAAACACAAAATAGGAGCAAGCAAAGAAAGGCCACCTACTATCTTCATCCCATTCAGCACGCCACCATTAGAACCAGGAATGTATCTTTATAAAACTTTATCTTCTATATGACAGAAAATAAGAGTTGTTCCGGTACCAGCCCCAGTATTAGAAATGATCCTGATGCTGCCTAAAGTGTTGATTCTGCAAGTACACAAGTCGCTGCAAATTAGCCACTGGTAGAAACCTGTATGCATGGCATCTACTTTGTTTTACATATGAAGTGATGTTCATTACATAAAATGAAATATTACAACTGCAGGTGGCAGCTTGTGTTTTAGAAAGGCACAGAACCTGATTTCAGGTAACTTATCAAACAACTGCAGTGCCTTTGCTTGCAGACAGTAACTTCAATCATAGCAAGCAAAATGTCATCCATCAGTGTTTCCAGTCACACATAATTAGGGCACGACCAATGCAGGATTTTTTGGTCTGATACCGATATTGGAGAGATAATAATCTGGTACCGATATGTCGGCCGATATCTTTCTCAGATCTGTCTTCGATCTGTAGAGATAGATAGATAGAGATATACACATATCCTTCAAATGCAGTTTTCAAACACTTACGGAAAAGATATATAATTAAGACTAGATGGTCTCTCAACTGGAGAGTAACTGTGCATATACATGTGTCACCGCTTGAGACTCTGGAGAGTGATAATGTTAATTGTAATCCATATAGCGCCCTCTGCTGGTAAAAGAGAACTGCTAGTGTAATACAATGAAACTCAAGTGAAATGATTTTTGACTGGTGAATAAATCTAGTAATATCGGTGCACATCGTGAGAAATGTATCCGATACCAATAGTCACTTGATGTGCTAATATTGGCAGATATTATGGGCTGGCCGATTAATCGGTCGGGCCCTTTTTAAAATAATTTAAAGGCCTGTTTACGTTGGTTCAGCGTTGAGTACTTTAGTGCTCGAAGCAAGGTTTAAAACAGGTACAGCAATATTATAACATACTGTACACAGGGTTAGTAAACAGCTATTTATTTTTTGGTATGGGGTACTGAGTATCAGCCAATACTGAAGTTATGATATTGGAATCAGAAGGTAACGGTATTGGAACATCTCTTTGAAACAGCGCCTCTGCTGCTCGTTGCAAACCAACCTGCAACATTCACGTCCTGTACAGTTGTGTGAGAAAATGCTGCATTCAATTTTATAATATTAAAGGAATCAACATGTCTGTATTTCTGACTATTTGGAGCCAAATGTTTCAGACTTTTGCATGTGTTATTGTTTGTACTGATCCATCTATAGTGAGAGAGATGATGCCTGAAGACACCCTGTATCATAAGGTCTCACTTTGTACATTATGACATCATGAGGTTGGTGGTTTGTCTCCACTTTGAGATCTTTTCTGGTCACCACTTTCCAACATGTTGCTACGCAAGTGTAACTCTGTTATTTCAGCTTGGTTTGAAATGTCTGTGTAATATCCCAGTTTATACCAGGGGCTGTTGAAACCTAACAATCATGACGTGGGTCTCACTGTTGTAACAGCTTTTATATGTAATCTTGATTCTAATATTTGGAAAGGAAAGCAGAGCTTGACCTGTGACAGTGACTTTGGTGAAGTGAACCAACCCTGGTGATGCTTTGTTTCCTTTGTCATTAATGTATCAGTGATGAAGGTCGATCAATATGCTTGTCCTTACTATAGATGCACTAAAACCTTTATGATGTTTGTTGTTGTAAAGACTGTTTGAAAGGAAGATAATTAACAGATACAAGACGGGAGTCAGGCCTTAAAAAAGCTACATTTTTGGAAAATGAAAACAATCATCCTACATCTTTATTTTTTTTAATCATATTTCCAGATGTTTTATTGAGCAACTTAATCTCCAAGAGGTCACTTTAATATCTCACATGATAACCACACCTTTGTTACTGATCTTGTTTTACTTCACTTTAACGCTGTTCTTCCAAGACTTTGCACTGTTTTTTTTTTGGTTTCTCTTTAACTCATGTCCTTCGAGTGCCCACTGATCTGAAGGCCACAATGTTTTCACCTTGATTGACCTTTGTGAGGATTTTTCCTTTTGAGTACTTCCACACTGAGGACATGGTGTCATATTTTTGAGTTTGGTGATTAAGTAGCCTGAGACTGAAGAGGACATGTGTAAGTAGAAACTGGTTTAATAAAGCCTTGTTCTGTTACTTACTGTGTATGTGCCGTTTGTTGTGAAATTAGCACTAATGGTTTATGGAAGAGATGGATGACTGAGGTTTCTGTCTAACTTCGAGCCTGTTGTCTTTAGATTGGGTCACAGTCTAGAAATGTTTAGAACAGGATTTTCATCAGTGTTAGTACCTGATTACTTGAGCTGGGGAAAATGTGATGATTTTAATGTTCTTAAGAGTAATTAACCAATTATTAATGATTATTAATTATTTTGTACATATATTTATGTTGATTTCAGCAACTTCTCCCATCCCAACTAGAAGTTTAAATATTCATGTTTCTCAAGCGTTAACCAGCGATTAAGTCTAATCATTCTGGACACACTGTGCAAATATACATTATTTATTAACACATTCATAAACTTAAAAAAAACATCAGTAGAGCTCACCAAAAACTTGAAGAGAATTCAGAAAAAAAGAACTAAAAACATTCCCAGTAACAACCAGTGGTGACTGAAAATCAAGTTCTGCTGTTTATAGAAGTTAGAGACACATACTTGAAATCTTCACTCTTCATTAACAGACGTTTAAGTGTTGGCTTTATACAAAGTGCACTTTATGCAGATAACAGTCATCTATAAGTGAAGACACAACAGACAGTAATCTTAAGGTTCCCTTTGATGAACCACAAGAGCAGCTACAGACCAAGATGTCAACAACCTCGTCCTTCTCTTCCTCTAAAGTGCATGTGGGTTTTTTTTTTTTTTTAAAGGTTTTTGTTTTTTTAAAGGTTGACACTTACAGATCGTAGACCTCAGATTGACAAATCCAAATCCAAAAAGAAATAAAGGCCATCACAACCTAAAGTAAGTACTGCATTCAGCTGAGGTGGAATCATATTTTTGCACATTTGTTCATTATGTTTCTCTTTGCTTCACTAAAAAGGATGTTGGAGGTGATTTTTCTTCAGTCATGTTTTATGTGTTCTACTATCCACCAAGCTGCCAGTCGCCTGTGTAATTATCTCATTGTACGTCACTGATGTAGAAAAAGTTCTATCATCCTTTAGGTTCTTCCTCATGCTCCTCTGCTTTGTCTCCTGTGAGCTTCACTGTCTTTCTGAAGTGCTCCCACAGAGGGCGCTGTTGTGGAGGATTACAGGCCACTTTGGATTTAGCAGCTTTAACGGCAGGTTTGTTTTTCATGGTGTCCAGAGTAAATCTGTGCCTGTGGATCAACTCAGGTGTGGGCTGAAGCACACTGTACAGAGCCTGTAATGCCCGCACATCCTCCAAAGCATCATGGGCCTTGTAGTCCACACCCAGTAACTCCCTGACCAGGTTCTCCTGTCGAAAACTCTTGAGGTCGCGGTCCTTCAGCATCTCCCGAGCCAGCAGCAGAGTGTCGACGCAGCCTGAGATCGAAGAGTCAAACTCTGCTCTGAGGTCAAGTTCGTCCAGAGCTCGAGCCAGCAGGCGACAGTCAAAGCGCCGAATGTTGTGGCCGACGACAAGGGGGCGTTCGAGCATTTGCAGGAAAGCTATGAAGGAGACGAGGACCTCTCTCAGGGAGTTGGTGAGGACGAGCTGGCGATGGAGGTACAGTCTGTGTCTGCGAACCCTGAAGCCGGTGACTTTGGCGGCTCCTCGCTGCATCCGACATCGAGGGACGACGTAGAGATTGAGGGAGTGACCTCCGCTCACCGCAGCCAGCTGGACGATTTCACAACTCTGATCTGGTAGAAAAACATGCAGAGGAAAGGCTTCACTTCGTGTGCTTTAAATGTTGTCTTTTTTAGATGATACTGACACTGAATGTTAAAGCAGCAAATTTAGAACTTCCCTTGGTTAAGCAACATTTATATCAACAACATTTAGAAAAAAAGGACATGTTGCCATTTCTTGGATGATACAAATTGAGTTACTTTGATGCAAAATTTAAAACATTACTAATATTAAATGATCATTGTTGTCATATCAATGTGTGTTGATTTCAAATGGAGATTCATCAAATTAAACCCCAAAAAAATGAAAACACATTGACATTAATATAGTGGGAGTCGCAGGGTTCTGATTCACTGGAAATAAAAAAAACAACAACACAAGTAGAGCATAAACACTGATCCAAAATGTAAAAGGGCCTCACGGTGAACATCCCTTATGAGAATTTATTTTGGACAATTTGGATCAGTTAATTAATTAAGGCTTCATGTATTTGGTTTTATACGTTTCTGTTATTTCATAAGCAGGAAAATGTTGTTTGGTATTAATGGCCTCTTCACCCATTCAACAAAAAGCGAATGAGTAATCAATAAAGGCAAATTAATGCGGATTTTGGGACCATTTGTTGTCGTTTTGTTGAAAATTAAATAGACCATTAGCTTTAGTCCTAAACAGCACAGGACAGGTGAACAGGTGAACAGGTGATCTCACCCAGACCAGTTGTCTCCAAGTCAAAGAAAACCAGCGACTGTTCTGAGTTTTGCATCCCGCCTCCGCCTCAATGATTTAAATAAAACAAATTAAGAGGAAAATAGACGAGAGAAACAAATACAGACTAAAGGAAATGACCAAAGTATTTCGCTCGTCGTTTGTATCCCATGTTGACTTTCTGTCCGTCGTTTTAAACACCCGGGTAAATACTCTGGACTTTGTGCGGGACACCGACACACAACTGAGGAAAATTGCGCAAGCGCAGACAAACACTTTCTTCTTCTCCTCTAAAATATGAACCAAACACGCCTCCCAGGCACAATGCTGCCCCCTTCAGGAGTGCAAAATGCAACAAGAAAGCAGTCAATAAAAAGGTGGATACAATACTGAGTCAGCATAAGGTATATTTTTTATTTAATCCAACAGAAATGTTAGTCGCATATTTACCGAGATGGAAGAAGACCAACTTAAACACCTAAATATAAGTTATATATTTAGAGGAATACTTGAGGAAGTCAATATACAATCTATCAGCAAAAAAAAAATACTGTGATTATGATCCTCTCATTTAAAAATATTTATGTCCAAAATTATTGTATTTTAGTGCAATTCTTCCTTTTTCATCTGAATTTATTAATGTTTATATTTTCAGAAACATTTAAATTATTTTTTAGGTGTGTCCTTATTTCCTTTTTCTTAAGTATCAAAAACAAAGACTCCTTTTTGTTTGTTTACTTATTTTTGTGTTTAATGGATTTGATGTTTTAATCATTATTTTTAATGAAGCTGTGATAACCAATTGTCCACTCTTTTATAACAATGAGGCTAACAGGAAAATAGGCTAATTAAAATATATTTTCATCAAAGCTTATTGAAAGCGCGCTGAACTCTTTGGGAAATTTATTTTTGAAATATTTGAGGACAGATTCTTATGTTGCTTTCCACTTAAGTTTTGTTGTGCTAACAGCATAAACAACATACAGTACACCTAAACAACATTTTCAAAGGGAACAAACAACTCTTTCACTGCTTTTCCTTTCTGGTTATTGAAAATTGGTGCAACATTATCTCTTGGAAAAATAAAAAAAGCACTGGGGCACTGGTAGCGTAGTGGTTACTGCGCACGCCCCATGTAAAGAGGCCATGGTCCTCCAAGCGGGTGGACCGGGCCTGAATCCGACCTGTGGCTCCATTCCCGCATGTCATTGCCCACTCTCTCTCTATCCCAGATTTCTGACTCACTGTCCTACTGTATCTCTCAAATAAAGGCACAAAAAGCCCAGAAATAAACCTTTAAAAAAAAAAAAAAAAAGCACCAAGTTGGTTATAAAAATTACATGATGTTTATTGTCTATGTTTGAAAAAAGTGCAACAATTCACCAGAGGCACAAAGAGTACCACAGTTATGAAGATGAGACATGTTACAGTGAGTTAGAAAAAAAGCTTAAAAACTAAATATAAATCATTTCACAGAATAAAAATTATACATGCCTGTATTTTTAGGTTATGACATTCATTATTTCTCTCCTAACACACCAAAGATAATTTAACCATCACCTGTTTTCTTATACTGAACATCCAAAATATGCACGTCAAACCACCTGAGGGTGCATGATGACAACACAATGCTTTTTATCATAAATAAAATATTTTGGTTGTTTTGGTCAGATTGATTTCTGTAGCTTTGTTAAAATGAAAGCGCCGCGTTGTAGATGAACCTCGAGACAGTCCGTCTGTTAAGGCTCCAACTGTTGAACAGGTTCTGCAGCATCCGGGCGTCTTCCACAGCGTTGTGGGCGTCGTAGGTCTGTCCAAGGAAGTGGTCGACCAAATTGACCTGAGAATAACTGGCCACATCGTAAAAGACATTCTTGCTCAGCAGGAAGGTGTCCAGAAACCCCGACACCACCTGCAGGAACTCCTGCCGCAGGGAGATCTGTCGCAGCACTCTCATGAGCACCGGTGCATCAAACCGCCGGGCACTGTGCGCTGCCAGCAGCAGAGGGTGGCGGAAGGAGCGAAGAAAGGCGATGAAGGAGGTCAGAGCCTCGACCAGAGGGATGGTGTCCACAGTTCTCCCTTTGAGAGACAGGACGCCATCACTGACGGTGAAGCCTGTGACTTTTCGGGCGCTCTCAGTGAGCTCGCGGCGGGGGACGGTGTAGACATTAAAGACCCTCTCCCCACAGACGGCTGACAACTGGATGATGTCACACACAGTAGTGTCTGAAAGTAGAACAGAGATGGATGGGTTAAATGGCGTAAAGGGCAAAAGAAAATATAAATGAAGCTGGTCCATGCTGGTTTTCTACTGGTAAGGTTAAAATGAACTCCCATTTCATAGTTAGAAAAGTTAATGTGACAGCTGTCCATTGCTGTTTTCACACATGCAACCCTGAACATTTCTAGAAAATGTCCAGCATGTTCCTTCGATTATGTCGTGTAGCTGAGGCCTCGTGTCTGCCACAGGAAGTCTCAGAGGCTGGTTTGTGGTCGGACACAGAAGTGAACTCAATTGTGTAATTCTAAAAGTACAAAACAGCTCCGCCCCTTTTCTTTCTAAACCGTGAGCTTTTATTTCTCGAGAACTGGAAGTGATGATTAGGGAGTCATAATGCACATGTGAGAAGATTAGAAAGCAAAAGATTAGAAAATGAAAGGCAGTCTGTTTCTCCTAATCAACATAAAGACTCCACCTGATGCCTGCGGACAGCAATTGAACTGATAAAAATATTATCAGGTCGTTAACACTTTAGATAGCAGGTGTAGCTATGGCAACCAAAGAAGGCAACAGTTAGGACACTTTAATCAAGAAATAAAAGCTAAGTGGGTTAACAGTCCACAAAATGATGTAATGCTTCTGAGCAGTGTTTGAACAACACATATTTACAACTTGTTATTCCATTTTATTTTACTTTAAACTGAAATATTATCTTATTTAAAAAAACAAATCTTTGTAATTAAGTAAAGAAGAAGTGGTTGAAAATAATTCTATTAAGGATGCACTAGCCCAATTATTTTTCTCTCTGAGCTCAGTAACGCAATTTGACTGAAACTTAAAATTACATTTATTGTTGATTTATCGGTAACTGTGTTCTGGACACCAATAAAAAAATTTGAAAAATTGTGAAAAACATTATGGCCTCAAGTTTTTTGTTTTTACCTCAATCTGGAATTTCTTTCCTTTAATTTTGCCCACCACTGCCCCATTAGGCTTTTATTTTGATTCAATAATTTTGACTTTTTTTTTTTTTTTTTCATTTTTATTTTTATTTTTATTTTTTTACTTTTCTCAACCAGATTTATTGAGAAATACAATTATTGGCATTTAACTCTATATTACAGCCAATCAAAAAATCCAAACCTAAAAAAACAATAACAAATCAACATTGATTTTTATCCCCCCACATTTCGTCCATATTTTTTTCGATAATTTGATTTTGGGTTGATTTTATTAGGCTATGTTGATTAAAGTCACGGACTCACTCATCACAGATAGTACAAAAATGTAGGATTATATTTAACTTCATTAATTACATTATAACTAATAAAATGGTGACAAGCAGAAAAACTCAAAGTAGTAATGATATAAAGTGATTCTTACCTAATCCAGTGGTCTCCAAGTCAAAGAAAACGATGGTTTTGAAGTCAGACATCTGCGGGATTTAAAGAGGTAAGTATTTTTTTTTTAAATGTAGCCTACTGACCTACACGAACTTTTTAGTTTCATAAAACATTTAAAAATGAACAGAGTTAATAATGGAAGCAAAATAACTTGATGCGAACTCACCGTGGACATAGGGAAGTGAAATCAGCTGATCGTTTCTGTGACAGATTTCATGTGAAGTCAGTCCCGTAAAAACAGCTGTTATATCCTCCACTGTACCTTGTCCACAGGGGAGGGAGCCACAGGTGAATCACTCCCGAAGCATTGCAAAACCTAAACCAGTCATTGTAACTTTCATTTTAGTAGAAGAGAAACTCGAAGAGTTTTCTTTTCTCCTTCCCGTGAATCTCCTCCCGTTCAGCTGTGCTCTGCTCGACCGGTACCAGGGTCACATTCACTCAACAAAAGAGTTGTGTTTTTTTTTTTCTCTGTGAAGGTGGAATCTTCCTCGCTGTTCGTTTACTTTCACTTTTCACCCGGTGGATGACAGGAAGTTGAAAAAAAAATAAAAAAGGCTTTTGTTATGGCAACTGTCGCGTGGACAACTCATGAGAATAAAAACTTATTCTAGGTAGGCTATGTTTGAAAATACAACCAATTCACGATTAAATAAAGTAAATAAATGCTATTTTCCACAAATACAAACTATGTGTCACTGTATAAACAGGGAAATATACACAAACAAACAAACAGCACTGCTCTAACATTAAAGCTGTACATTTTTAAAGAACATTTTGATTAAAATCAAAATTGTTGATCATTGCATGTCACTGAAATTGTTTATTAAAATAAATGTGCATTATCTGAATCCCTCCATTGTATTTATTTATTTTTATTTTTATTTTTTTATTTTTCAGATCTGAATCAAATAATCAATCAGCAATAGCGCTCGCCTTACTAGCCAATCAGAGCGAGTCTGTGAGTAGAAGGTTAGGGTTTCTTGGCACGGCGCGGCTTGAATCCTTCGCTAGCGAGAATAAAAATGGCGGACCTGCGCAGAAGTTTTGCTCTAGGCTGGGGGTGGAGTCCATGGGTGGAGATACCAGCAGAGGGGAGGGGATTTTTTTTTACTAGAATCCCACTGTGACGTCACAAGGAAAGCAAATTTGAAATCTCTGTCTTGTAAGACTTATGCAGACCACAAACAAAGGACTGGATGGGTTTATTTTTACATTGTGTGGTTCAGTAGACACTCAGCGTACTCAAATATATGTTCAAAAACACTGTACAAGTGGATTTTTCATAATATGTTCCCTTTCAGTATCAACTTTGTTTGACTATTTCCATTTTATTATGCTTTCTACTTTAACTGCATTAATTTAGAGAAGTGTGCAGCACGTTTTTTTTACTTGCTTTCCTCGCTTCCTCTTTCTAGCTTCCTCTCCTAAACTATGTTCCTCTAAACTTACAGAAAGTTAATCGTGTGAAGAAACGCCCTGCGTTCAATGTGTCATTTTATTGTTTTTTTACTTCAGTATTTGCTGCAGTTGCTATTACAAAGTAAGCACTTACAACTTTGTTCCCTGATCTATGACCCTTTTCATTCACTGTCCAATTGTAAAGTTTTTATATTGTTAGATGTGGTTGTCATGGAGATACAAAACACCAATCGCTGTTGTGCTCACTCAGCAGCTCTCTTATGAACCCTCCTCTCTGCAGAGGAAACGGCAAAAACTCAAATCTCTAAATGAGTTATTACATCTCATTTTAAGACACTTAATATATTTTAAATTTGCTTGCTGCATAGGCAGATATATTTTCTTATCACAAGCAATTAAGGGTTTGTAATATCTCTGCCAAATATATCTAAGAATAAGACGTTTAACTGGTCTTGTCAGGTGTTTGTGTCTTATGATAAATGTAAAAAGATATTTTTGACTAAAAATCAGACAAATACACTTGCTAAGATTTGAGAAACAGAACAATGTAAAAAAAATGTAAAATGAACATTTCTGTGAAAAAGAAAAGACTTCCACTCATTTGTGTTTGGCTGCAGTTTTGCTTTTTTAATAAGCAGATGAATTTCCCCCATAGTCTTTTTTTTTTCTTACAACCATAGACATGTTTGTATCATTAAAAAAAAGAAATATAACACAAATTGCACCTTTTACATAATCGTGTCCAGAGTGGTGCACACAAAGAGACACAAGACACTTTTTTTTTCTGTTTCGTCGCACAAACATGACAGGCTGAGTGTGGCCTGTTAAAAGGTCGCCATGTTTAATAGTAGATAATGAACCGTACACAGGATAATATATCCTTTTATAACACCTTTTATAACAGATTCTTTTAAACCAATGTACACCCCAAAAGCATGATCATAAATAGTACATACACTGTGTATAAAAGAGGAACAAAAACAACCAGAAAAGCAGAGCATGCCTTCCAGTGATGGGTACATTCACTTTTTTTTATTCCTTATTTTTTATGTTTTTTGCCTTATAGACTGTCTGGCCATGTACAAAGACCATCCCATCTAATACCAGCGTAAAGATGCTTGACCTGGAATCAGTTTCGTCCTTTCAGCTCACCTCTGAAATAGTTTTTCTTTTAGTAACAGGAATAAAGTTTCTGCTGTAAAGAGACAACACTGTGCAAGTCTCCACACCTGCATGAAAACTGAGACCAGCAACCTTTTCCTCAGACTCCCAGCTGCAAGGAAAACATGGATTAACACTGATTGTGTTTGTGAGATTACAGCAAAGGATCTGACCACAGATGCAAAAAGCATAGCTTGAGTGTTGAGACATCGTTGTGTGTGCCCATTGAACTGAATATTATACTGACTGTTTGTATAATGTATGGACAGAGACAGAGAGATTAAGTATATGCAGAAACACGTGGACGGTATGAGTAAGTTGCTACTTGTTTTTGTCTTATTAACAGGTAGATTAAATGCTACTTTTCACAGCCAGAGGTGGGAGAGAAAAAAAGAGGATGGAAGAGCTGCTATTATGGTTACAGAGAAGCAGAAGAAGAAGAACAACAACAACAACAACAAGGAGAACAAGGAGAAACAGAAAAGGACGCAAACAAGAAGCACAAGACGGTTTAGGTTTAGAGGAAGTTGGACAAGAAGAAGAAGTCAGCTATTCTCAATTGTCACAATTAAGGGGCTGCATCTTTAAAGAGGTGCAATAGAAGACCAAATATGTCACATATGTGTCATAGGCGGTCCAATTTTGAAGGCAGCCTAATAAGCGGCCGGGTAATACACTTTTAAATGATAGTCATTGGCTTTAATTTAATGAATAGCTACCAATATTAATGTAAAACAAAACAAACAAAAAAAAGACCAAAGGGACTTTGAAACTTCACATTTTCTGTCAAATAATTGTTTGTTAAAAGTTAAGTTAAGTTAGTAATGTTCGCTTTTTCCTTTACAGTTATTGAGGTTGCTAGGCAACAGGGGCTACATTTAGAAAAGAAAAAGGGTAAGGGCAGGAACAGCTGGTGAAGCAAATGACCAAAAACCTCCGTAGACCAGAATGTTTCATTTCAGTTAAATCAGCTGGCACGGGCTATGACAATTTGATCCTTCTTAGGCTGCGTTCTTTGTAGGATGCCACACCCTGAAATGAGACACAGCAGAGGGAGAGGGAGAAGAGGAAGAAGACAAAGGAGAAGAAGAAGAGGAGTGGTCTGGATGGCTCAGAGGACATCGTGGACGGTTTGAGCATGCAGTGAGTGCATCAGTTTCCCAACAGGTGCAATAGAACTCAGACGAATGTCGAGTTGGTTTTAGTGTCACTTGACGGCTGCGGTGACTTTTTCACCTTTACAAGACGAACAGGTTTCAGGAGGAAACTGTAATGAACGTGTGTGTAGAGGGTACAACACATGCACAAAGTGGGTGGGAGTTGATACAGTGGCAGGCATGACTCACCCATTCATTCAGACACACACCCACACACACACACACACACACACACACACACACACACACACACACACACACACACACACACACACACACACACACACACACACACACACACACACACACACACACACACACACACACACACACCACACACACACACACACACACACACACACACACACACACACACACACACAGGAAGACAGGAAGGACTATAATGGCTTTCATCTGAGCAAAATAAACCATGAAACAATGTTGACAGCAAAAACATGACATCTTTGATACCAATAACAACACCTATAATACAGCAATAATATGTATTTATATTTAAAAAAAATTCAAGTCCTGATGTAGTAACACTGATGTTTCTGGATAAAAACAGAAAAAAAAAACGAGCTTGCAGGGAAAGGCGGAAACAATACACTTATGGCTGATTGACTTTTGACTCCTTAGGTCAAGTAAACGTCACACCAGACGACACGCAGCACTGTGAACGCACATCCACAGCTTCTCCTTCCATTATTTTTTTCAAAGGTACAACTGGCTCTGTTCATTGTGAATTAGGAAAAGAGAAACAGAAAGAAAAAAACAAGAAGAAAAACGGCACAGAAACAAAAGTGGAACCTAATTCCAGACACGTCACTTTGCATAAGAGAGAAACAGAGACAATGAACGACCCAGGAGCAGCACTGGACTTTTCTTTCTATGTACACTCTTTTCCTCTGTAACATAATAATATTAATAATTAGAATAATAATAATGTGACATACAGATGTAACATATTTCTGTACAGTCTCTTCAAACTGACGTAGGAAAAATGTGATGGAGTAGCATGCAGCCTCTTGGCTGGTGAGTCCCGTGTAAACGTGAAAAAGCAGACTTAGCTTGGCGCTGGTCACAGACAAAAAATGTCCGCCAGTTCAGTCAGTGAGTCAGTCAGTATGGCTACATTTCTTCTGGGTGACTGCCCACATGCTAGAAAAAGAAAGATTGGGGCACGATAAGATTTGGCTTTGCAGGTGTGGGGGTTTCTAAGCTTCTCATCGCTCGTCTTTTTCTTTTTCTTCTTCTTCTTCTTCTCGCTCTCCCCCAGCCGACCCCCTGGACTCCAGCAGGGGTCAAACAGCGAACTGAGATCAGAAGGGCAGCAAACATGGCCGACCACATCTTTTCAGGTCACTGTGTTCACATTAGTCGTCAATTTTTGTCTCCCTATGTGTCTTCCTTTGGACCAGGAAAGGAGGGGGGGGACGCAGACACCGAGGAGGGGACCAAGCCTCGCCCCATGACCAGCCTCTTTACACCCCGGACTCTCCCTCCTCTCCCTCTCGTTCAGCTTTTCCGTCCCTCCTCGTCTTCACACCATGAACTCGTTGCTGCCGTACAGAACCAGCTGCTGAGGCCCCGAGCCGAAGTCCGACTCCCTCCTGTGGCTCCCTGAGGGCTCGCGCGGTGAGCTGCGGCTGAGTCGGAGCCTGTGGCGGGTCTTACCTGCTCTTAGGCTACCCTCCGCCTCCGCCAGCGGGGCCCCCAGACCGCAGGAGGTGAGAAGGGGCCCCGAGGAGGAGGAGCGGAAGCGATAGTGAGGGGAAGGAGAGCCGGAGGCGTTGGAGGAGAGAGAGGAGGAGGGGTGGTAGGAAGAGGAAAGGGTGGAGGTGGAGTCAGCAGAATCCTGGGAGTCGGGCTGACGGCGCAGAGCTCTTCTGCCCTTTCCATCTGACTTTCTGGATCGAAAAGCACCATGCTCTGTTGAGACAGACAGGAGCAGTGTTAACAACAACACACTGAATGCATCAGTGCGTGTACTGTACTTTAATGACCTTCATTAAAGTATTTGCAGATGCAACTGCGATGTAAGAGCAGAGTACCTAACTTAGAGTCATAACCAGACATCAAATCACACACATACCGGAGGGGTCTGAGGTGGCTCCCTCCATCTCCATGGTGATGTTCTCCGAGCTGTCCGCTGTGCCAATGGATGCTTCAGATTCAGGAGTTTCGTCGTCGGATGCCCGAGGCTCCAGGATCAGCATCTCATATGTCAGCTCCTCCCTGCACACACAAACAAACAGAAAAATGCAAATGACCGGTTACAGTCCTGTTTAGAGATGCTGATTTCTAAAAAGTTTGAACGCTTGGGAGTTTTCTGTTTTATCGCCCCTAGTAGCTTTTTGGCCAACAAGCAAGCCCTAAAATGTGCAAACGCTAAAGTGATTTACTCTTGATGAGAGATAAAATGCATACTTTATTTATGTGTCCTTAAGGGGGTCAATGCATGCACATGTTTGGACAATGTTTGGCTTTTGTGTGTCAACATTATGGACTGATGATTCAGTTAAAATAAATGAAATGGTTTTGCATGTAATGCAGCAGGTGTTTTCCTGTTGGTAGAGATTAAGAGTTAGAGTCTCTGGTATTGGTATTGTCCATTTGGATGTTTTGTATTCAAAAATAATAAATTTAAAATAACTTGTTACTAAAGCTGTCAAATAATTTTAGTGAGGTGGCACAGAGGCGAGGTAAAACTAGTTAAAGCACCAATAAAAGTTTGAAAGAAACAACAAAGAGTCCTTGTGTATTTGTCGTTCTTTGTATGCGCTCCACTAATGTCCACACAGTTAGATCCTTACTTCTTATGCCATCTGAACACTGAAACAACAGTGACGACATACTTCTCTTTCTGCAGACTCTCAATCTGCTCGTTAAGGATTCGCTCCTCCTGTTGAATTGCCTGCTGCTGCTGCTCGTTTAGCCCCGCCTCTGCTGCATCCTCTCCTCCTCCTCCACCTCCTCCACTTCCTCCACCTCCTCCTCCTCCTCCTCCTGCAGTCTCATCCTCCACCACAGAGGGCACCTTGGGGCTGAGAGGAGGAGAAGGTGTGTGGGTGCTGCTCTGCCGAACACGACTTTTGCTCTGTGGATTCACATAAAAAATAGGAGAACAAGGTTTTTTTCAGGGTTTTTTTGTTGATTGTGATAGGCACACACAGCTTGTTTGCTAGACAAAGTTGGATGTTTTGAACACACACAAACTAAACAGAGGATGTTTTTGATCACAGTTCACAACACTGCTAAGAAACTATGAGATTTCAACAAAGACACACACAAAAATACATCATCTGCTACACAAACACGCACAGTTAGGTTACCTTAAGTTTAGCTGTGTTAGGCTGCATGTCAATAATTTGTAGAACAAAAAAACAAAAAGCAAAAAGCAGTCAGTAAAGCTAAAGTCAGAGTGCTGCTTTCTCAGAGCGCAAAAAAAAAAACAAGGATGCAAAGACAAAAACATAGTTGGAGCATCTGTTGAACTGTCAAGAGATAAACAACTTGCCTAATTTGACAGACTGTTGTCACAAATCAGAACAAATAATTAACCTTTCATCCACAAGAAACTACAATCACAGCTAGCTTGATAGCAGCGTTGTCAATTCTCACACTGGGATGCTAATAGCGACAAGCTAGGCTCTTAGCTTGGTATGATTTCTGGAAACGCAACACACAATTAAACTTTTCTGATAATTCTGATACAAACAACAAAGCAACATTAATAAACTCAATCTGAATTCATCAACTGCACCATTTTGGCAGCAGTTAGCTAATTTTGAAGCTAAAACAGCTAGCAGCTCCAAGATAGCTTAAAACACTTCTGCTAGTTCAAATATACCACAAGTACCTTTAAATATTGTTGCAGAAAATGCTTTGAAAGTTAACTTAGCATCCAGCAACGAGTTAGCTGATGTTATCCTACATCTGTGCACATGACATTTGACTATGAACAACTTCACTCCACATTTAGGACCTAGGATAGTTGAGTCCAATTTAAATTCTGAAAAAGTAAAACTTTGAGGAACCAGGTCTACACAAAACCAGTTCTTTGTAAAACACCAATACCATCTCACACTGTTCATTTGTAGATTAAAAAACTCTTATCTTTGGTTGGTGTTGCCAAGAAAGAAATGACCAATAACAACAAATTGATTTTGTTTTTTATCACAAGGACCTCAGGATTCATTCTGAGGTCATTCTTTTCAACTAACAAATAACAGCAAAAACAACACAAGCAAAATGTCGGACAGCTAAACTAGTGTACAAACAGAAGTGACGAGTTTTGGGACAGTATGATTGGACAGAGCAGAAGGACGGATGGACAGGACAGGACTGGTGGAGGTGGGCTGGCACATGGAGTGGTAGGGGCATACATACCGGGGTGGCAGTGCGGGTTATGCTCATAAACCTAACAGCAATTAGTACTGGTTTCTAGAAGGGGGGAGGAAGGAAGGAAGGGAGGGAGGGAGGAAGGAAGGAAGGACAGATTAAGGTTAAGGTTTGGTGAAGGTAGTCAAGAAAGTCTGGATCTGCTGATTTGCAGGGCAAGAGTGCTCAGTCAAGACAATTAGATTAAATAGTAAACTACATTTGGTTGGAAGGTTGGTCCTTTGGTTTTAGTATTTAATTGTTCAGTGAAACTGTTTCATTGAAGTTTTTAAAATGCTGTGGCAAAACATTGACCTAGAATTCTAAAAAAAAGTTTTTTTTAAGAAAGTCTTGCCACTTTTGAGTTACTTTACGACATGTTTTGAATTATTGGAACCTAGCTCACTTTGTGTTTTCAGATACAGCTGGAGAAATTAGGAAGGCTTGGGAATCACAAACAAGTCTGCAGCAGGTATCTTTCTAATTAATGTCTGCCGACTCACAATTTAAAACAACTTCATACTCCTCTGGCAGCACAGTAAGATCTTTTTTTTGTACAAATGTTGCAGCTAAAATGGAAGTTGTTTTTACATTTTCAACAACTATTTTTAAGATTGCAGAAGCAGAAATGGTCTGTTATCTGTATGTAGCTGTTGTATGGAGGCAGTAGCGCCCTCAAGGTGGTGGTGTTGTGCTGAGTGTCTTTACTCAGCCCACAACGCAGCTGTGCAGACATTCAGCGGGTCATTGCTTCCTTTCATGCTATATTGCTTAATTTAATCTCTCTCTTTATTTTCTTTTCTTTATTTTTTTAAGTCTATCTGTAGTTTTGCTGCTAACTGTTATTCATTGTATTTTAATGCCTAGAAATAATCCTGTATTGTATTTTTATTTTGGAGTATTAGGTATGTTATTTAGAAGATAGGAAACATGCATTAATAATAAGGAGGTATTAGTCAACATTGCTACAAGCGGTCTTGTAATTCGAAGAATGTTGCACTTGTGTTTATTAATGTGACAAATTCAGAATCTATTTTTTTTCTTACTTTTGCATAAATAGTTCCTATATGTCCTAAAACGTGCGTCCTAACCAGCATACCCCTTTAGTTTGTGCTTATTGTCAGCTTTTTGCTTGTGTTACAAAAACACAGCAAAACCTGTTGATGAGAGATGTTAGGAAGACAGAGGAATGAACTCCTGCCATGGCTGTATGGAAACCATGCCAGCTGCTCACAGAGCTGAAAACTGCAGTGTCACAATTTCAATGATGAGTGAGAGGAACGAGTAGAAAAACATCCATGTCAGTGTCAGACAATTAGGATCATTTATGCTAACGTTAAAGAATAACTAAGCTTGAGCCCCAGTTGTAATGTCTCTGCTATTCGATGACAGTCGTCTGATCTCACCATGGACTTCCTGATGTGGGTCAGTCTGCTCTTGGCTTTGCTTTCTGCAAACTCCAGACTGCTGATGTCCTTCAGACGAGCTCTGTATTTGCTCATCTGCTCATTGATGATCAGCTCCACACACCTACAAGACAGACATCCGTTTAGAACTGATAAGGATCGAATACAAGTAGAATTCAAAACCTGGTCGCACAAGCTTTCTGCAAATGAGTCAGTGAGCTTTCTGTGAGTCAGTGAGCCGAACAGTAAATTTGTCAAATTGAAGGAGATCTCTCAGGTCAGTGGACGTACGCTGTGGTCTTGCTGATGTCTTGGACGCTCTGCAGCGGGTCGATGGTGTCAGGGCAGCGGAGGATGCAGGGGGCGAACACAATCGCGAGGGCGTTGGCTGACATCCTGTTAGTGTCCTCCTGCAGGGCGATTCTGAAACACACCATTTAAAATAGTCCTGTTAATCCTGACGTTGATCCTGTCAGAGTTTGAAAACCATCCTCACCAAACACAACAGACAGGATGCCATGTGACTGCAAAAAAAAAAGTCTAAAATTTTATTAAGATCTTTTTCAAAACTACATTTTTTAGACACTGGTTGTCCTGCCTGAGGCTGTGCAGAGCGGATGTTGATTATTTTCTCATCCCTCACCTGACAAGATGGAAGATGAGGCGTTCCAGTGTGCTGAGGTGCGTCCTGCTGAGCTGGTCGATCACAGAATACACTCCTCTCATCACCTCCCGCCTGTCTGGCTGACCTGAAAAGAAAAAAAACAAGTGCACACTATCAGACTGGGTCATATTGACTTCACCTCCTCAAACTGACTCTCAGCTGGAGGAGCAGAACCGAGCCAATGTAGGGTGTTAATTATGAGCTCACCCATGGCCCTGAGGAACTCCTCGTACAGCTCAAACGTCATGAGAGGGCTGGGCAGGTCACGGAGCCACTGTTTGAGAACGCTGGCGATGACATGGATGTTATAGTCGTCAAGGCTCACGATGTCCACATCTGGAACAGAGATACCACACTCAGGTTAATTCACTCATATTTCTCTCTCTCTTACTGTGTACACAACATTTAGCCGTAGAATTAAAGGTCAAAATGTTTTAATATGTCTCAGAGCTCCACAGAACATATCTGAGAAGTTTCTAAACCTCTAAAAATCCACTTTGATCATGTATTTTATAATGCCTTTAAACACCTCTATTTCAGCCCTGCAGAAACAAAGTTCTTCAGGTAAACAGGTCGGTACAAATGTCAAAAGCTAAACAAAGGTGCAGTTGTAAGGAGGAGTAACACAGATACACTGATATGTGAAACACCTGTTTGTCAGTCTCACCTGTGTCCAGCCCCTGTCGGAGTTCTTTGATCTTATTGGTGGAGCCGGACTTCCTGTAGATGCCCTCTGTGTAGAGTCCGTGCATCTCGATGTAGTTGATGAGTTTCTCAACCAGCTGGGGCACAGCTCGCTCCTCACTGGTCAGACGGGACAACTCTACACCAAACTGCCGAGACGACAGCTCCGGATCGTACTGGTGTAAGAAAACAAAAACACAGAAATATGTTACATTCATGCCAGCATGTACAGTGGTCCCTTTCACAACTATGTCATGGTGGTGAATGAAACAGATAGCAAAAGTTATTAACCATACATTTGCTAATATTAGCCACCGTTAGCTTCTGGTCATACCAAACCAAATCAATTAATTCAATACATTTTTATTTGTATAGCATCAACTCACAACAAATGTTATCTTGAGACACTTTACAAAAAGCAGGTAAAAGACCTTACTCTTTGTTATGTTACAAAGGGCAGGTAAAATACCTTACTTAATGCTATATTACAAAGACCCGGCCTATTCATCATTAGCAAACCAGCAAAAGTTGCAGTGGTAAGAAAAAACTGCCTTATCAAAAGGCAGAAATCTTTGGCTAGATGCCCGGCTCATGACGAAACAGCCAGTTAAAGTTCTCGTCTGTCTGCTCTGTATCTTTTGTGTTCCTAGCGTTGTTTGCAAATCAGCTTGTTGAACCTAAATCTCTGAGTATTTCTTGCTGTAGTTGCAGCAGGATCTGGGGATCATCATCATCAAGTCTTGAAAATCACTGAGGACTCCCTCATTTACAGAACCCCCAACCCTCTGGTTGAGAGGTGACCGACTCTACTGACTGAGCCACAGCCCCATACCAAAAGAGTAGTAGTAGTAGTCTAACACTTTAACGGTCAGACAAACAAAAAATTAGGCAGAGGGAGTTGAGTAGAGTCCAGTCTAGACCAGGGGTTCCCAAACATTGCCATGCTAAGGACCCCCATATAGCATCAACGTCTGGTTAAGACCCCCTTGAGCACATTTTCACAAGTTCCTTCTAAGTTACGATTGCAAATATCAAAAATTAAATGAACAGATTTTTACAATGTTTTACAGGTGTTTCAGTTTGACAGCAGTTTTAGGGTCTTAGACTTAGAGTCATAGAGTCAAAGGGAAATTAAAGGTGGACATTTTTTGTCAGTCACAATTTCCTCTGCCTAATTTCCTCAAAGTAAAAGACTGACTCAACATGATTCCCATGTGCCTACGCAGTCTTTTTGACAAGTCGTAGAAGGGGAAACACGTGGTGTTACAGATAATAATCAGTGCTTAAATGTTAAAAAATGGAAACGCATTCAGTTTATCAGGTGAGAAGATTTGGGGTGAAAAAATGTCCATAAACATCACTGCAGGCTGTTTAATTTAACAGTTAGGAGCTAGACACTTGATTATTTAGTCATTACATGTTATCTACCCCCACCTCCTACATGTTTCAGTAACATCACTTGTGTTGATGAGCAGCATTTTGAGATGAGATCTTTGCAACAGATATCCACAAGTGTATGCATCAAGCGGAACACTTCATAGTAAAGCTGATAAGCATCATCCTTAAGCCCTTTTTTGGTGTTTTCATCCTCTTACGCGTCTCTAGATTGTGGTCACATTGGGGTTTTCAGTGTCAACATGAAGGCAATATAAAGGACCTTCAGGAGTACGAGACAGTATTCATAGGTGTTTGATTTGATTGATTTTTCAACCTTACAGTGCCTGCACACGGTCTCTCCTAAAGACATGAAGAGTTTAACTTTTCTAATTCTTTCAGCAATGATGCTTGTGACGAGCTACACAGCATCAATAGCGAAGAAGACCTCTCTTCGGGATATTGAGGCAGAAGCAGACAAGATGATAAAAAAACACAATGCTACAAAAGGGGTAAGAAAACTACAAAAACGATACGTGGCTTAGTTTGCTTGATAACGTTTTGACATTTTCATCTTTTCATTGAAGGTGGCGTTTATACCCTGGGTAAACACATCAGTAGCATGCGGGGTATGTTGCAATCATTTTACAATTACTGTACACAACGATGTTTGATACTTTGTCGGACATATACATAATTTCTTACTTTTCAAGGTTATTCAAGACTAATTGAGTTTGTTGGAAACTGATACTATTTGTGTTGCTGTCTTCACAGGCCGATACCTTCTGCTTGGCTGAGATGGCTCTGGAAAGAACAACTTTAAAGGATAAACCTCTCACCCATAAGTTGAAAACATACAACAACTCATTCATGCCGAAGGTAAAGAGCAATTCTAAGTGAAAGTCCATTTAGATGGGTATACACTGACTCTTCAAATCATTTCTTCTAATTGTTTACTGGAAAAGCTCACCAATTGTACCTGTGTAAAGCTAGATTTAAACTGATATACATATATATATATACTGTATATATAAATATATACATTTTTCATTTCAGATGAATTGTAGCCTGAGTGACCACACCAAGATCAACATCACAATATTCCTGACAAACGTCAGAGACTGTGCGCACATGAATTCTCACAAGTCATCATGAGAATTATTGAGGCAACAAATGTAACTGACATAAGTTATTTTTTATTTATTGTTGAAGCAATAATTGTATTCTCAAATATTCTATTTTGTAATATTGTTATTTATTTGTCAATAAATCATAATGTGACAGTCATTTTGCCATTTCTGATTCAAGTTTGAATTATTAATAACTCCTACCATTGAAGTCAAACAGCTGTTTTCAACTGAAGACTTTAGAAAAACGAGGCATCCTCTAAGTCCTGAACGTGCAGCAGAGACAAGACATTAGAGAGCATTTGATGGTCCAAAATAAAACTGAAACTATTGTATCATCAAATATTCTTCAAGTAGCTTCATTTCTGAGTTTCCTTCTTTGGGTTTAAAACTTGCAGAGAAAGTTCATGTAATGTGTACTCCAACAAGGTAAGAAAGATTATCTTAGTGATCCCTGATTGGTGGAAATGAACCTGACCTGTTACAGCAGCTCAACAGACGGCAAAAGGAAACTGTTAAACAGTCAGTCAATCTTTAGTTGTTTAGCACCAATTCATTCAACAAATGTTATCTCAGGACACTTTACAAAGAGCATTTAAAAGACTTTACTCTTTATTATATTATCTACAAAGACCCAACATGAATCCATCATGAGCACGAAGCAACACTTTTTTAAATGGGGGCGCTGGTTGACCTAGTGGATAAACATAAATAATAATCAAAGGGGAGCGGGGGAGGGGAGGATGGACGGAGAAGGAGGAAGGAATGGAAAGAAAAATGGATTACTGCCGTGCACTGTCCTGCTGCAAATCCCCTTCTATACCTCACACAAGAACATTTGACACCTTTCAGGGGCTCAACCCAACACTTCCAGTCACTCCCACTCAACATGGAGACACACATTCACATGCTCGCAGATTTAAGAGGTTTGGTCCACTCCGTTTGGCAGACAGCATGAAATCTGCTCTGCATTGGAGGTTTTTATTTCAGGGCTCTCGTCTTCTAATCCCCCATTTTTGTTGCCAATTATAATAAGGAATAATAAGAGATATATAATTCACAACTAGAAATGTCTTGATTTACTAAAATCAAAATGAAAATAGAGCAAAAACCTGATATTATCTTACCATTTCAGTGATTTGTATTTGTTGTTGTCTGTGTGATATTACAGCATCCTGATACTAACTAATATACATCTTTAACTAATAATACTTATTCAAAATTTCAAATATTTCTATAAGAAACCGACAAAAACATCTCCTCCTACCTTTTTGCTGCACTTGGTAGTCATCTTGGAGCAGCACTTCCTGTGGCAGGCGAAGCGACACACTGCAACAACACAGAACAACACAGTCACACTGATGCTATGGCGTTCACAGGACTGCAGCAACAACACTGGACTGCAAGACACAACCTCGCAGACTCGGGTGAAAGTCGAGGCGGCGGTGGCGGCGGCAGAGAGTTGGATGTGATGTCTGCTGCGCTCTGAGAGTGCAGACGGAGACAGTAACTAGATAGAAGATAGATTTATGAAAGGAGCTCGACGTTTAATCAAATTTTTCTGACACTCGGGAGGTAGGCTGGGGAAGTGTGTGAGTTTGTGAGCATTAGAGTGTATCATGAATGTGTGTGTGGGAGGGGGTGTAATGTGCTGTGTGGGTGGAAATAAAAACTTAGCACACGGTCATGAGTGCCTGCGGGTAAGTGAGTTAGAAGAACATTACAACATTAGATACTTATATCTGTGTTTCATATTAGACAGATCTTCATGCTTGCTTTGTGGAGGCATCTTTAGTAGTAGATGCAGTAATAGTAAAAATGAGAAAAACACTTTCATCAGCATTCACTGATGTAAAAGTCTTTGCTTTGTTTAGCCTCCTTTTAACAGCGAAACAACAATTTATCCTCCCTACATTTGAATTTTTGCACCCATCTCATGCTTTGTTATTTTTTGCTCCTAATGCATGGTATATTTAAAAACAAAAAACAAACATAATCTATGCTTTGAGAACATTTTCAACTTTAGTAATCAGTAAAACATCCTGTTAGGTCATCCCTCATCACTCAGAGAGTGAGTTAGAGTTGTGTTTGTGTTGCGTTCATGTTTGGAGTTACTCATGTTACCACACATGAAATCAAACTCTCTCTTTTTATATTCAGGTTGAGTGTTTCTGTGTGTATGTGTGTGTGTGTGTGTGTGTGTGTGTGTGTGTGTGTGTGTGTGTGTTTGTGTCCTGTCCTCACGTTTGCAGACGCAGGCTCGATCCATCATCCAGATGAGGGAGGAGCAGTACTCGCAGTATGTGGGGATGCTGTACTGTGTGGACTTGAAGATGTGGCCGTTGTGTTCTTCCACCTGCAGGGGGCAGTAGAGACAACAGTCATCTCAGCCCAATACATAAACTTCACTTGAATCTTCAATGTGTTTAAAACGTACTACTCACAATGTCAGTTTCCTTCTTCCTTGACTTCTTGCGTTCACGTTTGGGAGCCTTTAGGAAAAAGAGAAAAAACGATTACAAAGCGTTTCTGGTGAGTGCTGCACATGAACTATATAACAGAGTAATGACTAACTCTGAGTCTGCAGGAAAAATGATCACAGAGGTGATCACAGAGGTGATCTACATGCTGATTTTATCTGAACTGACAATAATTACAATACTGTCTATAATCTTCATCTCTTTACTGTGAATTCATGGTGCAGTTGTAGTTAAAAAGTATTTCTTTGATCTTTTACATCCCTGATGTTTTTAGGACTTTCTCACCCTGCCAATCGTTCCCTCCATGGGCTTGTACTCGGTCATGAACTCGTCCAGAAACACCTTGAAGGTGTTGACCCACACCTTCACCGGGGACTCGCTCCAGTCCCTCTGCTCCAGGCGCATCGACTTCTCCAGGATGTGCTCAAACAGCGCGTACAGATCCTTGTAACGGATACTCTTCCCGTCGTCCATCTTGTGTTTGGGAGAAAATAAATTTGTCAGAATCGTCGGCGCTCTTTGTGTTTCAAAAGACAAAGTAATCATAAAGTGGCTGCAAGAAATGTACAGTTAATTAGTAGAGGGAAGTATCTATGTATGGGTTTATTATCTTTTACTGTGACTTTCTGACGTCTCCTCTGCTGATGAAGAGCTCAGCAGATATTTTCTGGTACTTTAAGCAGAGCGGAGAAGAAGACAACAAAAAACAAGGACTTACTGCCAGAGCTGTGGAGTAGGAGTTGAAGATGTTGATCCTGAACTCCTTCAGCGCTTTCTTGAAGACGACATCCACCATGGTGTCATTCTTTCCATCCACAGATTCGAGGTCTGCAATCTGGAGGGACAAATGCCTTTCAAGTCAACGTCAGCTCAAAGAATCAATTCAACAAATGACGACCAATAACAACTACCGTAATTATCATTAAAACAAGTTTTAAGATTTTTTTGGCACATTTGTACCTTTACTTAGATATGACAGCTGAAGAGAGACAGGAAATGTCGGGAGAAGAGAGAGTGGGGGATGACATGCAGCAGAGGGCCAAGGTGGGATTCAAACCCATGGTGCAGCACCGACGACTATAGCCTCTGTACATGGGGCACGCGACATAATCACTAGGCTACTATTTTTGGGCTTTTTATGCCTCTATTTCAGGGACAGGACAGTGGATAGAATCAGAAACCAGGGAGAGAGAAAGTGGGGAACAACATGGGAAAGGAGCCACAGATCGTATTTGAGCCTGGGCCGCACACTCTCGAGGACATAAGCCTTTGTACATGGGGTGCAGGCACTATTCGCTAGGCCTCCAGCGCCCCACAAACTAATTATTTATCAAGAAGGGGGCGCTACATTGTAATATTCTATTGCAGCCGACATTAATATTATGCACTATTGTGTAAGTTATCACAGTAATACCACACTCCAGTCATGGGGAGAGCTCTGGAGTGAGTCCAATATTATGTGTTACAAGTTTAGTAGAAGTTGTTGTGTGAACAGCGTTTACAAAACAGGGTTCATAATTTTAGTTTAAAATCATCCACCCCGATAGAAAAGAGGTGAGAGGGAAGTTTTCTTTTTACTACGACAGGTACTGCCCTCACCTTCTTCATGAGGAAGTCGTTCATGGTGCGGTAGTCGTGTGCAGACGTCAGGATGTGCAGCGCGTCGTTTTGCCACTGAGACGGCTCCAGAGTGATGCTTCCGATCTTCAGGCTGCGACGTCTCCTCCTCATCTCCTCAGGAGGAGCCGCCTCCAAGTCAGGGCTGTGAGGAGGAGAGGGGCCTTCTGGGAGGAGGAACACAGAGATGGAGAAAGGAGGAAATTCAAACTGAGTAACAACTATTTTTTTTTTTTTTACCCCATTAAATAAGATTTGAATCTTATTTTTTTTACCATGTGTCTCTCCAGCTTCACTCCTGCTGGACTGCTTCTCTCGCGACAGTTTCTTCTCACTGTGCTTCGATTTACTCCAGAATCTCATCTTTCCTCTCATTATGCTATATCAGAAACACAACAGGTTCATTTACGATTACTTCATTAGAGAATGCAGAAATGAGCAACACATAAATATGAAGAAATAAACTGGAAAAAGTGTGATTTATGGAAATGTATGTAATTTATCCCAATGAAAAGACGTACTTTAACTTATAAATATGATCATTTTCTTTGTAAAAAAAAGAAATCATTGTATTGATCTTACCCTCCATCCTGACTGGAGGTTTTCCTGAGCACCTCCACCTTGCCCAGGTCTCCTGACGACATGGTCTTATGGATCTTCTTCTGGTCTTTGTGAGAACCCTGGACATACGAGAAGAAAGAGTTAAGACTAATATATCCAACATTTCTTTCAAAATGCGTCTTCAAGATGCGTTCATTTTAGTCTTCAGGAGCTTAATTTGTTGTTCAAACAGTTTAGTTTCTCTACGTCTACACACTAAAGACACATCATGTCATTTAGATAGGAAAGCTTTGTGAATCGTGTAAATCCATCAACGTAGTGACTGTTTATCGAGGTTAGTATTTATCTTCAGGTTTAAGTGCTGTGCCGAAAGTTCTCCTGTCTGAAGAGATTGAGTAAAGTCAGCGATACCAGCAGAGAATACAACTATTATCTAGATACTGAGGGAAACAGAAGTCATGCTCATAAGATCCTGTTATGTTGTTAGTGAGACGTTTCTTGACTTGGTTTGATTGATTCCAGCATGCAGCGGCGGTAGCAGCAGCAGACGTCGGCGTGCAGCAGAACACGAGGCGGGATATTTTCAGGACAGGTTGGTAGACAAGAGATCTTCAGTGACTCCCCACAGTGAAAATCTCTGTTTTATTCTTGTCAAAGAAGAGGTAGATAGTATACAGGGATACCTTCACACACGGACATTTGGAGTTTGAATCTTTTTATTTACCTTAATAAATAACCGACGCTTCCAACATCATCCAACTGATACTCTGAGTGATGCTTATAGCTAAAATCAATCGTCTGATTACTTGATAAATTAAATTAAAACAAAAACGCAAATATGTGCTTGTTTAAGGCTCTTAAAAGCAAGTTTGTCATGCTTTCTTATTTTTAATTATGTAAATCCTGAAGGTCTTGGGCTGCTGGTTGACAAAACCAGACAGCTTTTATGATCCCTATTTTTCCACATCTTGCTCTGAACAATTGTGTTAAAAAAGGCATCAATAAAGGTGCACAAAATCAAATTTGTGTAATCTGCTGACATGTTCTGAGCATACCATGGGTTCACTATAGGAAAGACACAAAATTAAACTCCAAAGTAATATCCCTGCATGAAGAGATCATAAAAAAGCTGAGTCGACTAACTTTCAAACCGTCAGCCAGCAGAGTTAACGTGCATTTGTTCATTCAGACCAGCTGAGGTGACTGCGTCTCTAATAGTGAGGTGAAGGAACATCGGACTGTAGCTCAGTGGGCAAACAGTCCAAAGGAAGTAAACAGAACGACGATAGTGAGGGTTAGAAGTGTTAGAGGCTCCTCTCCCGTCCTTTAGCGGGGTTCACCTCAGAGGAGGATGGAAGGTGGGGAGGCGGCCTGAGAGCGTACAGGAAACAGTTTGTTGCTAGGAGGCCAAGGGACCTCTGGAGATCAGGTATTTTACCATCTCGGAGTCACTGTGACAGTCGGCCTCAGGGTGTGCACGTGAGGGAGTCAGGGAGGGGGGCAGCGTGTGGGAGTGGGCGGGGACGTAGTATTCATCGTCGTCGTCTGACTGGGTTGCCCCCTCAGAGTTACAGCGGGTGAGGAAGTCGGAGCGCGTCCGGGACATTCGGGCTTTCTTTTTGGGGCCAGGGCGACCCACCTGCTTCCAGGCAACCACAGGAACATAAGGTCAGCCGGTAATATGTGTGTGTGTGTGTGTGTGTGTGTGTGTGTGTGTGTGTGTGTGTGTGTGTGTGTGAGTGTGAGTGTGTGTGAGTGTGTGTTTGCTTGTACAAATCCATGAGGGAAGGCTGAAGCTGCACAAAACTGAACCTTAGGCAAAATGTTGCACACCTTTTTTTAACCCATATAATTAACCATTTATGGGTTACATTTTTAGCAAACATTAAAAACAGATATTCACTAAACATAAACTGTGTACATACAAATCAGAAAACATATTACCTCTGTATAGAGCCATTCACAAAATTCAATGTCTAATTGTAAAATGGCTTTAAACCTTAAGACAAGGCAGTTTAAAGGTCTTTACAGGGTCAGTTGTATATTTCTGCAGGTTTATTTTCATGTCTATCAACTGGATCTGTGCCACTTTATCTTGAAGAAACCTGTTGTGTAAATCTTTGTATTTTGTGAGCATCTATCTGATCTGATTCTGCAGGCTTTTTTTCAGTACCCATACTATTAAATATGAGATCTGATAAACATTATTGTCAACACAAAGGAGTAAAATAAACTTTTTCAGTTTTAAAATCCCTCACATTTTAAATATTCACAATAACAACACAAAGATGAGTTTGCATACATCACAAACCTGCTTGTGGCGTCTGCAGGAGCATGTCTGTGTGTGCACAGATGTGTGCATGTGTTTGTCTTACCTCTCTGTTTCTGGAGCCTGGTGTTTTGGAGTCGTCTCTGAACATGGCCAGAGATCTTTCCTGGTTCACCAAATCTTTATCTGACCTGCATCACAAAAAGACAAACAGACATTAATGGCTTCCCAAAAGGCCCAAATCTTACTTCAAAACGTCACAGCTGCCTCTTGAATAAGATCAAATTACGAGCAGCAGGAAGTCAAGTCAGCAGTGACGACCTTTGTGCAAATACAAATTACAGAAACACATTTCATCACCAGCCTTCATGCAATGCTACTAAAATAGGTAAAGTATATCCACAATATACAGTAACACATTAACACATCTATGATGCTTAGTTCTCCTGTTTTTCTTAGTGGAAATTTATCGGTGGTAATGGTGAAGGGTTAGTTTTCAAAGAGTTCTTACTTAAGCTTTTTGGGGAGGACTTGGGATGAGAATCGGAGGGTCACCGGTTCAAGTCCCAGAGTGGACCATAAATATGGAAGTTGGTCTGGTTGCTAGAGAGGTGCCAGGACACTTCCTGCCGAGTCAGTTGACCTTGAGCAAGGCAATGAACCCCCAACTGCTGGAGCCCCGCCCTTTATGTGCAGCCCCCCCACTCGGACCACTCAATTAGTGCATGTCCACAGGTCCTGTTTGTGCATGTGTGTGTATTTCTGGTCTATTTGTGTGTGAGGAGCACGTCTTAACCAATAAGAGGGTAAACCAGAATTTCCCCTCTTATTGGTTAAGACGTCTATCTCCTATATGCCCTGATGGGTGGAACCTTGAGCACTTGTATCATGTTTATATTTTTTTAGTTTCTTTTTATCATGTTTTTTTTGTACATATAAAGTCACCTGAACCTGTAGTACAGCAGGTCACTTACTTGGAGAAGGGCAGTTTGCGTCTGGGCGGAGAGAACACCGAGTTGGAGGGTTTCTCCACCATGTTCACGATCACAGTTTGGGCGGAGCTCTTCTTCTGAGCTTTCGGAGGTTTGGTATCCAGGACGGGACTGGGAGCCTCCTTCGCAGGCCTGGACGTCTTCCTCTCCTGCTGCTGCTTTGGCAGAACAGCCGGGACGCCGTCTTTTGCTCCCAGGACGATCTGGATGTCCACCTCTGAGGAGCTAATCCCCGTTACATCTGCAGAAGCCCTTGAAGATTTGACTTGCTCTGATGCACCTTTATTTGCCTTGGTAGGGATCCCATGAGGTTTTTCCACCTTTGATGATACCTCCGGGCTTTTGACAGGGGTTATTTTCGAACTGGATGATGCTGCTTCAGTCTCCAGAGCTTTTTCCAGGGTTTGGGCTGCCAGCAGCTCCCCCTCCTCCACAGGACTCTCCTTCTGCATACTGATCAACACCACCACAGGCCTCCGGGATGTGGACTCCCTTCTGTCTTTGCAAGATTTGTTTGGGCTTTCAAATGTTGGTTCATGAACCGGACTTTGGTCAGATGCGATATAAAATGTCGCCCTTGGACTCTGTTCCTTGCCTTGGTACTCCATTGCAGGCTTTTCGTTAAAGTTTGAATCTCTGAGCCCGGCATTGATTTGACTATTCAGAGTTTGGGGTTGTTCTTGAGGTGCGGTCGACTCAGTCTCCATGTCTTCCACACTGAGCAGCTCAAAACTTCCATGACTGGCTGGAGACCCTCGGGGGGAGTGTCTGTTGTCTGGGACTACGTCCTCCGGCACAGGACCTCCCATGCTGACGGTTCGGACCTTGAGGAGCTCTAAGCTGAACTGAGCCTGCTCCAGCTCTCTCATACGTCTGCTTTCTCGTTTTGATCGGTTCTTATGACTCGTCTCGTCCGTTCCTCTGCTTCGCTCCGAGTCGTCCTCTCTCTCTGTCTCTCCCACGTCAAACAGGACAGGTTGAGAGTCTTCGGAGATTTCTACAGAGATGTCCTGGACACAAACCTCCTGTATCGATGAGGTGAGGTCCTCCATGGTTCCTTCATCCATCTCTGCTGGAGGACTCTGTTCTCTGAGTCTTTCATGCTGCTCCTTCAGTTCCCTGAACCTAAAGACATTAACAGAGAATAATGCAAGTGTTATTACCACCATTTCCACATGAAGAATAATAATTTCAACCTATTTTGTTTTTGAACAAAGGGCAGCTCTATATGTTTTTCTTCCTCCTGCACCTTTTGTTTTTTGTAAAGGTAAAAAAAGAAGTATTTCTCTACACTGTATGGCTTAAAAAGAATGAAATAAAACAAATGAAATGAAAAGAATGCAAAAAACAAAACACATTATTCTCCACAACTTGGTTTAATTTGTTTGTTTTTTTAAAGATTTTCACTTAGACCTGCAAGAACAGATTTTTATGACAGCAGGAACAACAATGAACTATGTGTATATATGTACGTATACACACAGGCGTCCCCTGTTCATGTAATGCACTCATGTAAACAGATCTCCAACTTCACTTTGAAATTTCCGAGGTTAAGGACTGAAACGGGGAAGACTGCTTTTAGTGTTGCTGCACCCGATATGTGGAATAACTTTCAAAGGACAGCTACTTAGGGGAGGAAATTTCAACTGTTTTAAAATGTGATATAATTTAAATGTACATGGTTTGAAAGTATAAACATGTGTTTCAGTGTCTATGCCATTATTTTGAACTGTTTTATAATTGTGCTGTTTTTATTTTTTATTGCTGCAGGGCACCCCTGAAAAAGAGACCTTAGTCTCAGTGTGTCCTCACTGCTAAAATAAAGGATAAATAAATACAAATTCAACCTCCAACCAGTTTTGGTCTTTTTGTTTATTACAGATCTCATCATTCAAAAGACTCATTGTGAAGCTTTTCTCAGTATGATGCACAAAATACATGATTACAATCCTTAAAATAAGTATGAAGTTTAAACTCATCAGCGAGTCAAACTTCCCCTCGTGCTTCGACTCTGTCACTCACCTGAGTCGAGCCATGTATCCCCGGCCCACCGCCTGCAGCTGCGTCACCGTCCTGTACGTGTAACAGTATCTCCTCCTCTCCCTGAATCCTCTCCAGCTCGCTTGAACCGTCACAGCCGCCAGAGATCTGCGGTGCCTGCAGCACCTCCAGCTCCTCTGTATGATGATGACAGAGTCCCTCCACTGCAGGAACCTCCTGCGCTCCCTGTAGCTCCTCCAGGCCGCCTGCAGACACACCGCGGCCCCCTCCTCGTAACTCGACTCCATGGTGGACTCTTTGAGGAGGCAAAACCGCCACCACCTCTGCAGAGTCCCAGAAAAGGAAGGGGGGTAAGTGTCAGGATTAAAGGAAGGTGGGAAAACTGGCTGCTAATGACCTAGCTTTTATATCAACATGTCAGTCAACTGATTTACAACTTTGAAATTTGATGGATTTGCAGATTTCAGACAGCACATCCCTCCCCGAATCTCTTTTATCTTGTTTCTACAAAACCTGAATTGCTTAAAGTGAAGATCTCATTTCAAGAACCTTCTATTTGCTGCATTGGCAGAAAGTTTGACTCTTTTTCTGAACACTTCAGGCCTTATTTTTTTTAATACAGTATCTAGAGATAAAATGTTTATCTAGACGTGTCAGGTGAATGCCGCTTATTAAGTGTAATGAGATACTTCTGATCAGAAATGATTAAAAACACTCTTTAAGATTTGAGTGTTTCAGTTTACGGTATCTATTTGAAGTTTTAGATACTCAAATAGATCGAATCTCAGTGCTACATGTCCTGTTTTTATTCAGTTATTCTTCTCATTATCATATTTCTGTATCAGTGCTTCATTGGCTCTTTGTTTTACTGTTTTTGGACTGACTGGGTTTGTTTTCTCTCAGCCTGACAAAGATTTGGACAGCTCCCCTCTGAGGACTTGTCCAGAAACAACAGACCCACAGTCGACTGAATGCAGCGTTTTCTCCCTCTGTCAGACGCTTCATTGTTTGCTTTCTCTCATTCTCTCTCTTTCTGTCCTTCTTGCTCTGATATTTTAAAAATGATTTTCAAACTCAACTGGATAAGAAGACAATAGTTCAGCTACAAACAGAGGCTTAAGAAAATGAAATGTTGCTTGGATTTGATTGTTTAAGATGTTAAACGTTTGTCTTTCAACCTTTTGCTATGACATCTAGCTGCTTTATTGATGCAAGTTGTTTGTGAAGTTCAGAAATGTAGGTTAAGGCATCCAAAAAACTGATGTCACTGAGTCTGTAAGTAATCATAAAAACCACTGCAACAAGGTGAGAAGTGAAAGCAATCCAGGTCAGCAGAACCAAGAGGTTACTCCTTTTGACGTTTTCATTTGATCTATTTCTTCCTTTTTATTCTCATTTTGGAATGGAAGAAAATCTCTCAAGAAGACAAATCAATAGGTCACATCCCAAAGTACAAGCAGTAGTAGCTAGGATGATAATTGGAAACTCTGGAAGAGACATTAATGCTGTTCAAGTCTGAGTGACTGTATTTACACAACCATGTAGTAAATGCATCTCTATTAATCACATAATACTGAAACAGTCTGAGGCTAAGAAGCTGTAATGGACGATGGAAACCCCTAAAATGTTGAGATGTAGTCCATGATTGTTAAATTGATCCATGATGCATCACCAGAAAGGACTCTACAGCTAACCCGGGTATAAAACTACACTAGAAGAACAGAGGGTGACTGAACATGAAAAAACATCTAAGCCCTCTTTCTGCCTCCACGACGTCTCACCTGGATGACGCAGGTGGCTCTCCTCATGTCGACAAAGTGCTTCCTCTCCAGGACCGCCCTGAAGCGGCGCTGCAGCGTGACGATTCGCCGTAGGACCTCCTGGTGGAGGGATGTCTGAAGACGCTGACGCTCCGCCTCTCGCAGGAACACCTGAATCACACATGTGGAAATGTAACTTTAAGTTAAGTCCTACAGGTAAATATGAAATTCCAGAATCAACAGGTTAGTACGTTTCCAGAACCCATACCATGGTGTTCCCCACTTGATACCCAGCGGGAGGCAGGTGGATCCGTCTGAAAAACTCCCTGATTCCTGACTTGGTTGGATTTGTGTCTCGAGGCAGCAGCACATGAAAGTGATGCACAAAGTCCTGAAACAAAAGGTGCATGTATGGTCAGTGAAGACACAATTAGACATCCTGTTTGATAGTTAGCAAATGTGTTTGTCAAACCAAATGGCAGATACATGATTTATCAAGCAGTGTGCTCACACACAGAGCCAAAAATAAACACACAGAGAGAAACACTTAGTGCAGATGAATCAAAACTAAAATCAAGCTGAAAAGACGATCATCAACATTTTGAGCATGGTATCGGAAAGAAGACAACAAAGGGGAAATTAAATGAACATTTATTGAATAATTAGGTTTTATTCATATCTTTGTTAACTCGCGATAACATCACTTAACTAACTGCTTGATGCTTTGAATACAAAACACTGCTACACTTACTCACCATTGATGACAGAGCTACATGTTAGAGGTCTGTGTGAAGGGTTACCTGGAAGGTGTACTTGATGCTGTATCCTGATTGTCGGATCCGGACGGTTTCCAGCATTCCTGTGTATCGGAGCTGCCTGAGCACCAGGCTGTCGTTGAAACGCAGCGGCAGCTGAGCACCAGAGAGAGAAAGAGAAAGTGTGAATTAAAAATAAAAAATGAAGTCATCCTTCACAAGGAGAAGTAGAGTTTAAAAGGTGACTGTTCCTGCAGCTGGTGTTACCTTCTCAGCGTTGGAGCGAATACATTTGACAAAGTACGGCTCTGACTGATCCAGAGTCTCCATCAGCTTGTTGAGGGATGCCTGAAGACACACACAGAAAATAATGACATCACAACCTCAAGAAATTATATTTGTGGAAAGAACCACTTTAAAGACTTTGAACTAAAATGAGAATTTCCATTTTTTGTTACTTTACTTCCACTTGACAGCATTTCAGAGGCTAGTAACAAATATGCCTTTAAAAAGGTCACTGCATCTTAGATTCAAGATTTGTTCTTGCATTTTGACAGAGTTGATGAGAAGTTAGCCTTTATTCAGGTCATTATATGCCTTTAATAAAGTTAAAGTTAAAGTTAAAAATAATGTAAAATATAAACCTGTAACTACATCTTTTAAATCCACATCCTCAATGTCTCCTTGAACAGAACATACTTTAACTCCTGCTTATAATATTTGCTGCTGAGTCACTTGTGTTGTTGTAATTCGCTGATCTTCCAGCAGAGGGCGACGGCAGCACTGACCTGAAACTGTGCGCTGATGCTGGGTGGCTTCTTCTTCTTGTGCAGGTGAAGCAGAGACTTGGTGATGCGGTCATGAAGCGTCACGCTGCTCAGGTAGCGCAGAGACTTCACGTCCAACAAGTGCTGAACAAACAGAAGCAGACAACACATTAAAACTGCCTCTGTCATGTTTATATCTACTGTGAGACTTCTTCTCAAGCTCTTTGTGTATGGATGCGTCATACTGTGTTACTTTTGTGGCTTACCTTAGGAAGAGTGGGCTTGCTTTTGCAGTTTTTGTTTCTCCTGCAGGAGAGAAACATCATTTTTAATTACCGAGATTTAATCGAGGAGGATATTCACAGCACCAGTTTAGAGAGAACATAAACACCTTAGGTTTGTTACCTATTTAAATGTAAAACTGATGCACTAGACAGGAGATTCTGCAAGTCTATATGAAGGGTGCATATGCAAAATTCTCTTACATAATATTACTTTTAGTGTGCAAATAGGCTCATATGTGCTGCTTTTTTCTGCATACATTAGCTACTACATAAGCCCCTGATAAAAGTGAATGGCATTTTGCATTGGCTGCAAAGATAGATGCTTGTGTGTATTTACATTGTCATCAGCTGATACATTTTGTGGGACATTTTATTTGACCCCTATGCTCAACAATTTTCTGATCTCAAAGTTTATCAGCTCAGATCAACAGATTGGGGTCAATAGTTTTTGGATAAGTAGATTAAAGAAATAACAATCAAACAAAACAAAAAAACAGAATCACATTTGAAGCAAATTTAAAATGTGTGTGCTGTTTTTGATGTTTGTGTGAGACTCACATTAGTATGCCCTGAGCTCTCTCCAGCAGTTTGCTGCTGGTCGAGTGGATAAAGATCCCTTCTTCTTCCAGGGCGGGACTTCCTGACGAAGACAGACGACCAGACCTGCGACCGTTACAGCCAACACCAAAGCCATCCCTACAGAGGGAGAGAGAGAGAGAGAGAGAGAGAGAGAGGTGAGAGATTTCAGGGGAGGGAGTGCTTGACAAAAATCTCTATAACCTTTTTAAAAAATATATTTGTCTCGGGTCGTACTCACCAGCTGGCCTTTTCATTCAGGGCGTTGGTGCCTTGAAGGTCTGACAGAGGAGTGCGAGGATTCTTGCGAGTGATACCTGGATGGCACGAGGAGATGAAAGGAGAGGAGAGAAGAAGATAAAAGGAGAGTAGAGGACAAAGATGAAAGAGAAGGAGGCATGAGGAGTGTTGAGAGGAGAAAGGGGGTCACGGACGGACTTTACACATACAGTATGTTTCAGCAACAATTCCTAATCTCTGATATCTTTATCTCTACCCACGACTCAAAAAGCTGAACTTTGTGAGACTGAAGTGCTTTCCCCCAGACAGCCCCAAAGGTTTTAAGTACCAGAGTCTTTGTGTTTGTTTGTGTGCATTAGTGGTTTTGGCACAGCGACATGAATGCCTATGGAGACATTATATCAGGAAACAAGCAGCTATGAAACAATGAGCTCCAGTTTACATTTGTGGTTTTCTCTTGTAAAAGCCTGAACTCACTGATTATACAGTGGCATGACTTATTTCACAGAACTGCTTCATATAAAGATGCTAGGAGTCAGCCAGAAGCTACTTAGCTTAGCCTAGCAGAAAAACTAGAAACAAGAGTGGGGGGGACACTAAGCCTGGCTCTGTTGAAAGATGACAACATATGCTGACCAGCATCTGTGAATATCATTTTCGAACATGTTGAATCTTGTTTGATTCACCCTTACAAGCATTTTAAAAGTATCCACAAAGTAGAAGACGCTTTCCCTCCAAAATGTCAAACTATTCCTTCAAGCTAAAGCTATGTTTTAGAGAGTTATAATGTTTGTTGTGATTCATATAGCGCCCTCTGCTGGTGAGAGTGTAATACAACGATACTTGCATGAAATGCTTTTTGACTGCTGAATAAATCTAGTACCTATTGTTTTAGTTTGAAATAATCATGCTTTGTCTATTTAAAAAAGAAATGTTGCTTTAGGACTGTTTTCTGACCCAGGACCAGCGGAAACCCAGACTGCTATTCAGACTGGTAAACATTGTGTGCTGTCTCTCCAGTCGATTTGATGTTCTCGTAACTCAAGTTGCTGCTATACTTTCCATCCACAGAGCACTTTGGTGGATGCAACAGCAACACCGATAGTCACCTGATAAGCTAATATCGGCTAATATTAACGACTGGCCGATTAATCGGTCGGGCTCTATTTTCAATTAACTGTGGAATAATGGGTTGCATGTTTTGGATAAATATTTGTGATAATGTGAGCAGCACACTAAGACTAGGCCTCAAAGTCTGTGAATGTAGAGTTTGGGATTCAGCCATATTGTGTTGATGTAGATGTGTGAAATCAGTGGAGTTTCCCTTTAACAGAGGAAATTCTTTGGGGAATTCTCCTAGAAATTTCCCTTGAAATCAATTTCCGTGCTGGCAGCTGTGAAATCCCTCTGGAGTTATTATATAAAGCAAAGAGCTGCATTAAAGCATAATGACACATGACGTGCATACACACACAATCTCATGTATAGCACATGAAGCAACGTTAAGACACACTTATACATACAGCACATCAGAAGCTAAGTGTGTGAAGGTCGTGCAGAGACTGACTGGGCGTCATTAGAAACCTGCAGCATATGGAGCTGTTTGATTAGTGCGATCACTCGTGCCTGAGAAACATGCGACCAGAGCTCACAGTGACCCACATATATCTGATCTCCATGTCTTATTAACAGCTCTAATAGAAGCAGCTCACTGAGGCAGATACTCATACCAGATCCATTATTCTCAACCTGACCACAGAGCGCTTTTTCCACCACAGGCTGGAATTGATTTTTTTTGATTGGATTGAGCTCAGAAAAGGTTTTTTTTTTTCCTTTAAAAAGGGAAATGAAAGCTCTTCTCGCTTCAGTTCACCTCACTTCAGCAGACCTTTATCAACAGAATCCATGCCTTCATATTAACCACATTAACAGGGAGCCGATTTCAAAAAGTGCAGGGGTGAGGGCTGAGTTTCACTAAGAATATAATCAATGTAATGGAAATTAAATGTATAAGCACAGTTTTTAAAAGAGTTAACATAATCAAGAAAAAAATTAACTATTTTCTAAAAAAAAAAAAGCCTTGGGACGCACTCACACTAGGCAATCCATACACTTCACTCTAAAAGTCCAGTCTGTTTGACTAGTGTGAGCTCTCCGATCCGTTCATTGGCCCTGGCACGGAAGAAGTGTGCTTCATGCACGAGAATGTAGCTTGGACAGCCTCCATTATCGAGAAATATGGGCGTGTTATTGCTGTATCTGACTAAAATGACTCAAAATAAGCCACAAAGACAGTAAAGTAGCTGTCATGTTCTCTGTGTTGTTCTCCGATGTGTGGATGCAGACTCGACCGTCCGTCCCTTTTAAAAAAAACATGTTTTCGAGTCCTCCTGTCTTGTAAACTAAGCACACTTCATGATCACATAAAGCCATGCATGTGTTGTATTACGACGTTATGTGCAAGAGGTAACCGTGCTCAGGCCCGGTTAGTCCTGGAGCAGTGTGAGTGCAGGCCAGCGGGGGAATAGGGAGGGGGGACAATCATGCTTAAGCGGGTAACAGGAAAAATGGTCCTAGTGTGATTGCGTCCTTACAGTGCTTTGTGACTTACTGTATTTCTCATCTTTGCATCTTTGAAGGATCTCCAGGCTCCTCTGGTGAACCGGGTGATGGAGGAAACTGAAGCTGTCGACAGTTTTGACCACAGAACAGGGAACGGCTGCATCGTTCCCTGAAACACAGGGAGAGAGGGGGAGAAGAATGATGAGAAAGCAGACTCAAGCCCTCAACATAAAAAACTTTAAGCCTTTAAACAAACTCTAAGAAATCTAATGAACATAGAGAGGAGATGAAAAGGTAAGCTGACAAAGTAATTTAATAACAAGCGGGGATAAACAGCTGACTAACAAACAGAAACACAAAGGGAAAGGAGGCAGATGAGAATGAGAGAGAGAGAACAAAGAGAGAGCATCCTCTGGGATGAGTCCGCAGTGACGCTTCCAAACACTTTGCTCTCTAAATCCCCAGCTTTTGGAGAAAATGACAAGATGTGTCTTACTCCTCCTCTTTCCAAATAACAATCATCAACAACAGAAGCACAGTTGTCTTCTCCAAACAGACTGCTGCTTTTGATCCATTTAAAACAGGAGTATTGACTTCAGTGCTTGTTTGCTGATTTCTTTTAAATCCACTTTACACACATGTTCCAGTGCTGAGTGATGACATAAAGTTCATCAGTAAATATGTTCAGATTCATGAAGAAACATTATAACATCACTTCTGAAGACTCATTGGCTTTCATGTGACGTCATCTTTTTGACATTTTAGACGGATTCAGAGAGAAAGAAGCTGGATGACTGTATCATTATTTCTGGGACGTTTAAGCTGAAGTCACTTTTTTTTTTTATTCTCACCAGTTTTTTTGTGTGTGTGTCTGCGGCCGGCCTCCCTGAAAGCCACCAGGGCTCTGAAGTAAGCTCGCAGCACGGCCCAGCGGAAAGTGGCCACGGGGTCGATTCCCATCAGGCCACAGATAAAGGCGTTCTTGCTGCTCTTGAGCAAAGCCACGACGTCCGGACGCATGTGATCGGTGTTTTTCTCCCTGAAGTCCTGAATGAAGGAGAGAAACACGTTCGATCATTAGTTTGTATCAAACAAAAGTCATAAAAAGTTCAGTCCTTTCACCTCTTCATCTTGTTTTGTCACCTCTTCATCGTTTTTACATCAAAAGAGTAAACTATTTAGTCCACAAGTAAAGTGAAATTTAGACAAAACCATCTTATCGACTGTCATATCTGTCAGCAGATTGTTAGCTTAGCTTAGCATAAAGACAAGAAACAGGCTGAACAGCTTGCATTTATCAGGACTAACACTTAATAACCTCAGTGGTATGTATGTTTTCTTAATGTGCTTATTGTTGTATTAACTGGAAAAATAAGATACTGAAGGTTTTGTGACTGAAGGTTTATTTCATGGACAGATGACCGCAGTAAAATCACCACATACCAAACCAAGCTTTGCAGTGTTTTCTGACTGTTTGGGGCACACTGTGGATGTTTCAGTGGCTTTTTTTTTCCAGGATGTTTTCAGTCAGAAACCTAAAAAGTTAAAGAAGTCTGGAAACACGCTGCAAATCATTCCTATTTGATTTGATATTTTTGTTTAAAGCACAAAGTTGACCTCCATTTCTTCTGTTTTATCAGTCTGTAAGTCATTAAATGTTGTGTCTGAGGTTTTGCTAAGATAACAGAGTCATGAACTATAAACCTCTCTCACTCTCTCTCTCTGATACGAGTCAGCTGTGTGTTTACCACTGAGCCCGCGTCACACACATTTCACGCCCGTGGCTCTCTCAGCACATTTCACACCAAACAGCTCTCTGGCTCTCAGTAGATGATGGGATAGCTTTCAACATCCACAATAACCAACTCTTACAGATTTATATTTTACAGTCAAACAACAATACGCTCGCCCCGGTCCACAACATGTGCTTCTTATCTAAGCTCAACTGGGAGGCCAACACAGAATCTGATTTAGCTGAAGAAAAAAGAAATGAGGTCGACGGAACAACAAGAAGGTCTGCTGCAGAGTGAAAGTGTTTCATGAAGGTTCAAGTGAAGCTAAGAAGCTTTAGTTGTCAGAGTAAACGGTTGATTCTTACCTTTAGGTACACAAAAGAACGTTTTTTTTAAATGTATTTAAATACTAAGATGTCAGACGTCGCTGAGTCAGTGACCTCTTTTTAATCCTTCTCAAAACATACTTAATATATCTGCATGGTTTTTCAGATTTTAATTTATTTAAAAAAGTCTTTAAAAATAATTAAATGTCTATAAAATCTCTTTCAAATGAATTCTGCCTTTTATAATATTTGTTGTTTCTTAATCTTGCCTTTGTTTATACATCTGTGGCCTTATGGATTCTGAGAAATGCTTTATAAATGTTATTATTATTAGAATAGAATTATCCTGATTGCTTCACAGCGAGGAGGTTCCTGGTTCGAATCCCCCGTCCGTGTGGAGTTTGCATGTTCCCCTTGCTCTATGATAGCTGGGATCGGCTCCAGCCCCCCAGATATTAGATGGATGGATGGAGAGTTAACCCAACCACATGGTTAAGCAAGGTTATTAATTATTAATTAATGAATTCAGTCTCTGGTGAGTTTGGACAATAGGAGAAAACAAACTGTCCTAAAAATCACACAGAGTTTCTGAATCAAAATCTGTTTCCAGTCACTGAAGAGTTGGCGCATGCACCAAATTTTCAAACTAAAGAACAACGAGTGATAAAGCAGCTATCCAAACTTTGTTTTGCCTCTTCTTTATTTTGTTTAGCTTTGTTCCAACGCATGAGAGCCAGCTGGACAACAATCTGTCATCACTTATCTCCTTGTACTCATAAAGATGCCTAATAGAACCCCATCTTGGGCTATTAAAGGGTTCGAATCAGATTCCACCCATTGTTCTCTAATTTTGGATGCACTCATTTGTACCTTCTTATTATTTATGTCAATAACAGAATGAGACAAACAGATTGAAAACCTTGTTTGTGTAGGCAGATAAGAATGTGAAGCTTTGAATCAGCTCAAAGAGTTTTTTTTTCCCGTTTTTTTTAAAATAACTAAATAAATCTGTCAATAAAATGCTATCATAAAAACAGGCCTTTTTATGTCTTTTGTTACAGTTCACATTTAGTTCAAACAAAATGATCACATTTATCCCACGTACACACAGGAGCACTTATCTCACCTTGACTCCGTACTTCACTTTCCCAGCATAGTGTCTGATGATGAAGGCGGGCTCCATGACAGCGGGGAACTCGATGTAGCTGTTTCCTTCATGCTGACGCTTGAACTTGTCCAGCAAGGTCTGATTGGAAGCCTGAGGGAAACTGGGAGAAACAGCAGGAACAGGTTAAAAACATAAAACACAGAGAGACAGAAAAACAAGATTTAAGAAAATAAACGTATACCGTCATTTGACTTTAACTAGAACACTGGAACCAAACGGAGATGGCCTGTTTTGATAGGCTGTTATGTAACCTTTATTTAAGAGAAGCGTATCTCAACAGACTAATGTTCTCCATCAAATAATGCAACCCCAGGTACCTCAAAAATAATATCACTACTCATGTTTACTCTATTTCAAAACCTCTATTTAAGACAGAAGAAGAAGCATAATTAATTAATTGGTGCATGGATTTTATGGACATGGTGACCAGAGCCCTTGGTAGCACATCTCAAAGGAAGCATTTTTTGAGAGAACACCGCTACAGCGGCAAGTTTCTAATATTTGGGCCATCTACTGTGATGATACTTTTACTATTGACATGTACCTTATGCTTTTGGTTCCTATTGGTTCGGAGTCGAACCCTTAGAGAGGGCGACAACAATAATCACGATAACACGCTTCATGGACAGTTTATACAAAGAAGTTTCGGTGAGTGCGTTTCGCCATATTCTGTAAGGATTTGATCATTTAAAAACAATTAAAATTGATCTTTATTTCTCAGAAACAGACTTGTTTTTTATTGCCAAGTACATTTAGACATACAAGGAATTTGTCTTGGTGTATTGGGGCAAAAAAAACTTCTGACAGCTATGTGTCACTTTTTTGTGTATTGTTTCTGTTGGGAATCAGCTTTTCTTAAAAAAAGGGGGTGGGGGGGCTCTATAGGAAAAAGGTTGAAAGCCACCGTCTTAAACAACCCCACTTCAAAACAACCAAACTATCCCCTTTTAATACACAAACAACTCTTCCAGTATTTTTCTGACTCTTACTTTCATCTACAACGAGGTTATGCCACAGTAGCAGCCGTTAACTCTGACAAAATCTAAGTAAAATATGCAGTGTATCGTATTCCTTTCCCCCTCACCCTCCGGGATGAAAACTGTCGCAAACTTAATGTTACGGCTCAAATTTAACCAAACATACGGCAGCTCTTTTTGCACATTCTTCCTTGTTGTTTTCACCTTTGCCTTTTGGAAAATTTCACCCACTCACATCTTACCTAAGGTGGCCCGGATCAACATCTCTGTAGGGTATCTAAAACTCTCCTGTATACACTTCTGACACACACACTCTCCTGGCTGGAGTGTATCCACAGGGGTCTTAAGGCTTGATGCCTTTACTGTAGAAATGAACCTCCACGCTCGCCACTGATCCTGCCGTAACCTAATCCACTTCTCCAGAGGCCCCGCGGCCCTGCCAGCTCTCTGCGACTGTGAATGATGGGATCTCTAAGCGTCTTTCTCTCTCTCAATGTAATCATTTAGCATGAAGGCCCTTCCTGTGGCAGCAGAAACCCCCAGGAGAGAACCTGTCCCCCCTTGTTTTTTTCTTTAGAGATCCCCCTTTGACCCTAATTCTCCCAAAGTGGTACCCCTTCTGCACAAGCACAGACACAAAAAAAAAAAAATATATATATATATATATATAATGTACACACACACATACAAATATATACACTCCAGGTGTTATTAGATCCAGATGAAGCAACTAAGTGACAGGTAAGATGACAGCTAGCATTGATAAATATGGCTGTGTGTGTACCGCCTGATGTGTTTTTATGCGAGGGGGGCGGGACAGTGCTGGATTTGATTTATGGAGGAGAAGGAAGAGCGCTGACCTGCAGCAGGAGAAGGTTTCACAACAAGACTGCAGAGTTAAGAAAATCCAAATAGGATCCAGAGATGTTAGCAGGAGGGAGAAGCACGCCTCTATGCCTCAGTTAAGCTCTGATAGGAGTCCCAGCGTAGGTATTCATTAGGCTAATAAACAAACAGGCTGCAGAGGGAGCAGTTTGTCTCTTTGAGTCAACACGTGTAAAAGGCAGCTTTGTGCAGGGTGAGCAGGAGGTCAACAATGCATACTGCAATGAAATACGTCTTGCTTTTGGCAACATAAGGCAGAGTGAATAGGTCAACCAAGGGTAGTGTAAAAACCCCTGAATCAGATGTAAACAGGAGGTGTACTAAATGCTTTTCATTGTTCTCAGTAACATCATACATTGACAGAGTATCCTGTTCTCCAATGCATGACCCCCATGCAGCAAGAGCCTAAAATAAACAATTTCATTTAAAGCTCCTGTAAGCCGTTTATACTGATGTTTCAATATGACCTACAAAAGAAAAAGAGACCATCTGCAACAAAATGTAACATTTTTAAAATTTGTACTGCCTTTAAATGTAGCCGCCAACGTAGGTGTAAAACAAGTTGATGAAAAGTACTCTACCAGACAGACTCCTTTTTACATTTCCCACAGCAAATGACATTGATGAGTAATACATTAAATGTAAAAAGAAAGCAGGATGAGATTTGTTGCCAAAAAACACTACTTGAGCTGTTTTACATTTACACTCCTGAAAATTCCAGGAAAATGCCCTGACCCTGAAATCTACCTGAGTTGGTTGTTCACACATGCCGCTCACATCGGGACAATATCCCTGTCAGACGGGAGGGGTGAGGGGGGATCTAACCAAAAGTCAGGGGGGACTCAAAAGACTTGACATATCATCTTCGATTCATTAATATCTGCAGCAAATTTGAAGGGAATCAACAGGTCAAAATTGTGAAAAATCCAAATTGACATTGTTAATATAAGTGTTATCTGAAACAATTTAAGCTATATATGACATCCTCTTCTGACATATAATAATAAACACACTTCAATGTTTTATTTGATCACATCAAAGCAGCAGTGTCATCGGAAACTGTGATGAGACACTTGGGGAAAACCCTAACACCAATCAGATTAACCAATAAAACTGACTGTTTGATGTCAAAATTATGTTGAAATTTTTACCTGATAAAGATAGAATGAAATTTAATAGTAATTTGGTAATTAAAGTTAATTCATTGAGTTTACTGTTCAAAGTACATGTTAGCGGGTGACGTACTTGCACTCCTCGTCCAGCAGGTGGAACAGCGCCGTGGGTTTCTTGCTGATGAGGTTGATGCAGCCGCTGTTGTCGATGTATTCGATGTTGTGCCAGGTGATGCCCTCTGCCCTGTACTCCTCCTGCAGGGGGAAACATGGACACCTTGTCAATAAATACTTGCAGGGAAAATGACTTTCTGTAAAAGCTGTTACAGAAAAAAAGGCTTTTGGTTGACTTTATTATACAGGATCAATGTGGGTCTCTCATGAGGGCTTTATCAGGATACCTCCAGCAGAGAAAAGGCTGTCTTTAATCACTTGTTTCATTACTGAGAGATTTGATGAGAGCTTTTAACTTTACAGAAAGACACTGTGACTATTATAAGTTAGGAGTTAACAGTGTCTAACCATCTCAAGGGTTTAAAGCCAAATAATTAAAGAAACATTTTAAACATGACATGATGTTCTTGTGTTTCAAATACATGGGCGAGACATGGCCGTCGAACAGGCCGGGAGGGGGTCTGGCACCGTATAGTTCCTGGAGCACCTCCTCTTTTTGCATTCCTCAAAGTGCTGGAATCTGAATCCTCATCGGCTTGTTGGTTCTCAGTAAAACCAAAGTTAACATCTACGCGCCCCCTAGGGCCGATGAAAAACAAGTTATATGACCCATGTCACTTTAAACGCCTAAGGGAGGGACCAGTGACAAACCTTTTTCCAGCTGGGATGAATGGTTGAAGCAAAAAGATTCAAAGGAGATCTTAATGTTCTTGTCTATCTGATGAATCTACCTGTCTATATACATTTGAGCATGTTATTCAAACAGTAGTTTTTGCATCAGTTATAATAATGGTTAAAAGCATTTGTGGCAGTTCTTGATGCAATGTTTATCATGTGATTTAAGGAAACAACAAACTGCCAGTAGTTAGATGAAAGCAGTGAAGTCAAACAACGACTTCTTGGAAACATGACTGTACTTGAAGAATTTATGGCTATGTGCTTATTAGATTATGTTATATCTTGTGTGTAATGTTGACAAATTGCTCCTCTGAGGGACATAAAAGTGCTGATTTTTCTTTTCTTTAAACAGGATTTCATTGGCAAAGTTGGCATTAGGGCAAAGGTGAAAGAAAGTATAATTAAACAAAGTGTTGAAAACATGATCTACAAGCTCGTAAAAAAAAAACCCAAAAGAGGTTCAGATTTCAAATATTCAGTGGCTATAATGGACCAAGTTGTCTTTGAGGGTCGTTTGTCGAGGTTTCAAAGAGCTAGAGAGGAGATTGTAAACCTGTAACAGGTTACTTAAAACAAAGGCAAAGATGGCTCCCACACTGCAGGAATCCACAAATTGTAAGGGGTAAATAGGCCTATATTGTTGGGGGTAAAAGCTGAAATAACTGGTGGCAGGTTTCTTTCTGTGGAGGACAGTGTCCAAAAAGTTAATTTTTTATTGTGTGTGGCCATGTTGCAGTTGCATATAATAACACATTTCCATTTTAATGGTCAATAAATGAGGATTTTAACAAGGTACATGGTACCAGACAACATGTCCAGCTGCTGTTTATCCTCTTAATTGCAGCACCATAGCAACCAGAGTTTGAAAAAAAAAAAACAAGTTTTACATCATTATGTTCTGGAACCTTGTCTTCATTGTGACCTCATAGACGGGAATTTTAAACCCTCTCTGCCTTCAGCCAGCTGCTCAGTTGTGGTTGGAGATTGAGTGTGTAGGAGTGTTTTTAAGTTTGTTGTTCGAGTTAAGCTGTTTTCATAGTTTTTGTCAGTGCATTTCAGGATTATCTTCTTCTGTTTTTGATACTTCCTTTAATTGAGTTTCAATGGAGTTCAGTGAAGGAAGTCGAGGCGTCTATAGACCCATTAGGGTCTTGTTTGACACACCTATTTATGAACGCGCATTGCAGATCTGCTGGCACAGCCAGTCCTATAAAATCAAGATTGCAATAGTAGCTGAATATTTAAAACTTCAGAAGAAGAACGAGCTCCCAGCCGAGATTACTGCTGAGGACCTGACTGACCTACTGTTGATGGAGAGCAAGAAGTCTCTCAGGGTGCAGCTATGGGACTTTGAGTTGGAGGATTTTGATGATGTGGACATAAAGCCTCTCCTCAAGCTGGTGTGGGAGATTAACACCAGCTTCCAGATGAGAGATGTGGAGTTCGAGGCAAGAAGATTGATCGACTCACCAGAGAAGATGCCATCCTCATTTCAACATCCTAGGATCATCAGCCAGGCACATGATTATTGCAGGATCCTGGCAGAACAGCGACACAAGGTTCCCATTTTCAAACAGTTGGGACCGCAAGGGGTGGTGATGGATGTCGTCCCAAAAGTCCTGCAGGATTTATGGGTACCCCCAAGAACCATCTCCCGGGAAATGCCCTCCCAGCAGCTCAGTAAAATGGCTGTGGGAGTCACTAAGGCTGTTCTTGACCGTGTATCCACTGCGATGTCTACCAAGCAACAAGAAATCTCCTTTTCCCGATCCATGAGAGATAACATGGTCCTCTCTGTCACGGGAAAGGTGAAACAAATGTACTCTCAAGACATCCTGAAGATCAAGAAGAACCGCTTTGAAGCGGAGTTGTTGAACAACATCACTGCCGTTGTAGTAGATCACATCTGTGGGCTGTTTGAGCCTCAAGCGCAAATGGACATACCTGCAGATGAAGACCCTGCCAACGCTGCTGTACAGAGTTTAATGATAAACTGCCCGGCTATACCAAGCCCTTCAACACCTACAATGCTGCCAGCTGAGCTATCAGCTATTGCTTCAGTCCTGGTAGGAGAGGCTAAGGATGAAGAGCCCAGCAGTGAACCAGACTATGTTGTCTTGCAATCTCCAGTACCATCTGTAACCCTGCCAGCTGAAGATACTGTCCTGGAGGGTAATGTGGTGTACCAGCCCAGCGAGGAACCAGCTTTGGCTGATGTGACTACCGCTGAACCTTCTGCAAACATTTGCATGGATAAAGCAGCAATTAAAATGATGTCTTTCCCAGCAACCCTGCCAGCTGAATCTTCAGTTCTGGAGGGTGAGATTGGGGATGAAAAGCCTAGCGGTGAACCAGACTCGGCTGATGAGCAAGCTCCAACGCCTACCTTAATCTTGCCAGTTGAAGACTCTTTACCTGCTCCAGTTGTGGAGGGTGAGGATTTGAAAAGGCAGCCCAGCCAGGAACCAGAACCTGCTATGGTGCCATACTCACCAACACCTGTAACTAATGCTGAGGAAGCTCCTGACATTGCTGATGTTCAGGTGGAGGTAAAAGTCAGCCAGGATATACTAGAAGAGCAGTTAGCAAGTCCAGAACAAGACTCTGCTGTGGTGCTGGATCCATCATCTTATGGTACCCTTCCAGCAGAAGCCACAGTCGTTGCTTCAGTGCTGGGGGTTGAGGTCATGCCTTACAGAGAACCAGCTCTTCAGGACCTTCATGATACAGCACAGAGTGACCCAAACATTAACCAGGAGAAGGTCAAGAAGACCAGAGTTCAAAGACTCTACCGGTGGTTGGGAAAACGACTCTGCTGTTTCAGACCTGAAGATGAAGATGATGAGAAGTCTTGATTTGTTTCACCAAAATGGTGATCTCATGAAAATAATAAATGCATTGTTTTATTGCAGTAATTCTGCATCAGCCTATTTTCTCTGTAGGTAGTTTGGATTCAGACATGTTGGGTATGGGTCCTTCTAATGGTGAAATTTGAATGTTATGGATGATTTTAGATACATGTGCTATTTTTATTAACAAACGAAGTTACATGAGTTTTACACCACAAAATAGTTTGTAAGGAGATGAAAGATGGAATATGATGTTTCTGCAAAAGTATTCAATTCAAACAGGTATTAAATTATTATACATTACTTTGTAAGCAGCTCAACATCCTATGCAATTTATAAAATATGGCTCAACTTTGTTGAGCCATATTTTAATGCCAATGCTATCATATCAAAGTTTTAAATGCAGGACTTTTACATGTAATAATGCATCTCAACACTGTGTATATCTACTACTATTACTAAAGTTAAACATCACTTTTATAATCACTTTTCTGTGAAGTAAAAAAACCTACAACTTCAATTTTCTCACCAAAAGAAAAGCATCATTAACCTCTGGGTTTTTCTGCTATTGAGTAAGAAAGGAAGTGAAAGATTTATTCGTGGTCTAAAATGTCAACCCACTCAACTACCATCCTAAGACTGAAGGAAGTCTAATAACTTCAGTTAGTGTTTGTTTAACTAAAATTAAAATGTTTAACTTATTATATTACATGTTTACACATTTTAATGGGTTGATGCTGTACTAACAACCTCAACAACTCACTGTTCCCAGTTGCTTCCCACTCTCTCTGTGCTCACCTGCTGGTTCAATCGTGACTTTTGGATTAAACCATCTGTACATAGAGATGATGGATTAAGGAATGCTGAATGGCAGATGGCAGTAGCATAGGATTTTAAAAAATCTGGTGGAGCTCATGCCCATGTTATTATTTAAGGGATGCTGAGATTAAATGTAGAGGTACCGAAGCAGCCTTAAAAAGTATAAACTGTCGACCAAAGTGTCTGGGACAGGTACTGATCTACTTCTCTGACCTTAGGTTTTATGTTCATTTGTGATTTGAAACACTTCCCACAAAATACCTTTCCATATTTCTTCTTTTTTTTGTGGGGGATTTTTCTTCCTTTTGGATAGCTTAGAGGCAGAAAGGACAACTGCCTGAAAAAGGGGTTTGAGATGCGAATAAGGTTGATATCTGGACCAGCATGCACTTAACCATTGAGATACCAAGGTTTCTCAAAACTTAAAATTACAATTTCACACCCTATAAGAAATAAAATATATGTATAGTGCCATTCGCACAGGTCCAGGACAGCAGAGGTACATAGGTATTTCTGTACAGACAACAATAAAACAAAAAACATGAAAAGCTTAAGTTGGAGGTACATCATGCTGCACTTAGGGGAGCGCCATCTTGATTGTGTGGACTGGACTTCAAAAGGTGAAGGAAGATGAGACCAATGTTTATGAGTGCATAGCATACAGATTAGTGTATGTTGGTATATTCATACCGTCGTCAAATGTAGTTGTGGGGATGTATTATGTCTCCACACTAA